ACCCTCAAATAATAATCAAATTAAATTATAATACCTTATGACGTTGGTAGATAAAATAGTTGAGGTCTCATTTCAAACTATATACCTGAAGTGTCTAGATAAAGTTCACTGAAAGAAACTGATATAGACAAAAAATTTAACTAAAGGTTGCTAGAATATAATTGGATAACCACAAAATACAATCTTGAAAAGTTCGTTTTATACTAGAATATTATCTGAATGACTAAATTGTGAAGCTGTATATACGTAATGTTAAATTAATCTACAGTCTTTTTAAGTATATTCATTTCTCTTCAAAGTATACTGAGGATTTGGTGGGTCTTAGAATGATTCCTAAAGTGCATTTTCTTACAATCAAAAAGAGTATCGTCACAATAAACTCAGTTAGTCAGAACAATCCAAATTTGAATCCAGTCGTAGGGAGCTCGTGATTTTAGTACAAATTAAGATTGCAGACTATTATACACATACATTGACCGATCATCGTATACTGAGCAACGTTAAATTTGTCTTATCTTTACTTCAAATCGAATCTTATAGATCAAGTTGCAACAAAGCAACTCATTCAAGTAATTCAACATCATCAAGTTTTGGTATGTTAGTTTAAGGCAAACGATAGAAAATCTTACTTGACCTAGGTCTCACGATATTTGTCAATTATCAACAAGGCGTGCCTACATTCATGAGAGAGCTGGTGTCTACTATTTCAATTATTTCCTTGAAACCACTCAAAATAATATTTATTGAAATTTATACATGAAACTATCTTAAACGTATTAAATCGTTTATTTTTCAAGGAAACTGTTTATCACATAAGATTTCAATATTTGGATTGTACATATGGTATCAGAGAAATTATATATCTCATCCCCGATACATATTAATATATTGGCAACTGTTTTTGACATTCATGGTTATTAATTGATAATTGGCGGATTAATTGTTTATGAATACAAAATTAAACAAATAACCTCTTTGAATTTACGTTCCATTACATCTCATTTCGAAAAACAATGCTTTCAAAGGATGGACATACACGACCTGCTAAGCGAGTAATATAATTGAACCAATGACTAAGAAGCTTTGATTATTCTAGTATACATATATCATAGGTATATACTGTAATTTGTCTTATCCATATAATGGCATGTAAACTGAGGTGTTAAATAGGTAAAGGATTGATTTCAACCAGTTAGAAGCAATTACTAGAAAACTTATCAATTGATGTTGATTGATGCGCACTGCTGAGAAGTCCCATGATAGGACGAAACGGTTGTCCAATGCCTCCAGGTTTTCAATGGTGGTCCAATATCAATCAATTCATAATCTCAATTAAAATACTAGAAAACTTGTTCGACGAACATTCGATCACATCTTAAGATTACAACCAGTATCTTTAACTGCCACTATTATTAAGTTATTCGAGTAGCATTTACATATCTAACATTGGACAAGTGAACTGCAATGTTATATCACAGACTAATGAGTACATTAGTATTAAATCGATATAGAATTTGATTAGCAACTGTGATTATATATAGATATATATCACTGATAGTATCACATAACTAACAATCATTGATTTTCCCTACATCTCTTCACAGATATATCGGTTATTCACATTTATGACGATTTCGGGTTAAAAAAGAAGATTGTTTATTCTTATAACTGATTGTTTATCAGTAAAATCAAAGATTGATTGAATAAATAAAGCATAATTCTCCTTTTCTTCTCTAGTAATTATTCTCTCTTCAAGTAAATTATATCTTTTTCTCTGTACAAAATACAAATCAAACTAGATCCCTTCTCTTGATTCATGTAATGTATTTCATCATGATTAATTATGTAACATTTTCAATGTACATAAATTTACATTAAATGGTAGTTAGTAGTCATGATAACTGAAGTAGAATAAAAATCTACTATGGATCGATATTTTTTTAAAATCTTTTTGTAAAAGACCTTTCTGACATCGACCATGGTAACTGTGGTAAAATGCAATGTAGTTTTAAAGATATTGTAAACAGAGTGTTAATATTTGGTTCATAAAATTCATAAGAAAAGCGAAAACGGTATATATCTATTATTATTATTATTATTAGAGTTGAACTATTTCTCATTTGTTGGGATTTATGCTTCCTCTGTGTGGATTGACTCAATATAGACAACGAGATCCTTATTGGTAATGAAGTTAACATAATATTCGTTGAACAAGTCGGTGAATAACTTAGTTAATTAATTCCAAGGATAATGAGTTAGGGTTTGAAGTGAACTGGGATATAACTGACATATGAAGGTGATAGTTTCAAAATAGAATAAAGTACAGGGATTAGTTCTCATTATAAGCTCTTATTCATTTGATGTAAAACACAATATCATTGATGATAGATTTACACAAGAAATATAACATGAATTACTGTTGAGTCGAGTTAATTTCTAATTAAAGTATCAGATGATAATTGAAGGTATTCGCTTTTTCTATGAACCTTATCAAAGGCAGTGTATAATTATTTTTTGTTTAACCACCCTATTGTATAAAATTCGACTATTAAAATAATATTGAAGACAATTTGGTTGCAATTTAAATAAGTTCAATATTTGACCAGACAATCTGATCTGATGGGAATTTGTGGAGATTATAATAATCTTTAATAGTTGAATTCATGAGTCAATCTAAGCCAGATCATCATCGAAAAACTGGAAGCACTGGAAGGCTGTTGCGTTCTACTATAGGACTTCATCAGTGCGCATTCACGATCCCATAGGCGAGACTCGAACTCAAGATCTTCAGTCTCACGCACGAACGTTTAACATACAGACCACCGAGCCGGCATCTAACGGTGTTGATGTGTAATTTCAATCTGTCCATGATCTTGCACAACTCTTCACCCATTGTCTGAGGTGAATAACTGTCTCTGCCTAACACGGATCGTACTCTACTGGTCACGGTTTTTCGTTAGAATTCCAAGAAATCTAATATTGAAGCTAATCACTAGTGACTAGTCACAAAACGAAAACTTTCAAACACCCAGAAAACGTAAGTCTGTACCAAACATTTATCTTGTTTTATTTAAATGTTGTATACAATAAAGAAATGAGTCACTCTGCTTGAAGTGCTCTTCAAAAAGAACCTCAACTTCCACTGAAAACTAAATACTTAAAATTTATTAGTCAGGTTCGAGATATGCCAATCACACTATTGAATTTTAAATTGTATGATATTTTATTTTATGCGGACGGTATTCAATACGAAGGATCGTGACGTTTGTAACTATTGAATTAGTGATTAGTGACAGATTATTATTCCTTAACAGCTTTGGACTGAATTAAACGTGTTGTAAATTTAATTACTTTTCTTGAATAGAATTTTAAGTTATAGGATGAAATAAATATAATTCTAGTCATAAACCGAAAATTCAATGGTGCTGTGGTGTGTGCTACTGATGTCGACAGATATAAGTAATATATCAATATATCAATAGAAAGTGAAGTGCCTGATGGCAGAAAGGTAAGGAGATCAAAGAAAAGAAAATGAGAACAGTGAGTGATTGGTGTGGAAACGAAGGAACAGTGACCACAACTTTATATGGTTTGATTAATTAATTTCTAGTGGATGCTGATTATGTCCAGACTAACACTACCGATAATGCAATGAAACTAAAAATTTCGAAGTAACACCACTAGCATAAGGATTGTGCTTATTCATTGGGTTGACTAAATAACTTTCATCATTGTACGGATGACATTTCTCATGAAAATATTAATTCAGTTAATATATTTTTTTAAAAATTATTCTTTACTAATTCATTTTTGGTGGTTGTTTGAATTCTTTGTTCATGGCTAAGATTGCAATTGATCAGTCTCTTTTTGGTCTATGTGTATACTGAGCGGATCAACTCGATACTACCATTAAGTCAGAAGCACTATAAGCAGAGATGGATGGGGGCTAGTAGCTTATGGGTCCCAAATAGGTCAAAACCCATTAATATAATCACAATCCATTTTCTCTTTTAGGTATGAACAAATTTATTAGTTAGTCAAATATTACATTTGAATAGGTATTATGCTGATATTATATTGAATAAATTTTAACATAAAATTAACTCGAATTCGGTTAAGACTGACAACGAACTTATCATTTCGATAATGGGTGGGCACTGATCAAACTCACTGTAATGTTCTAAATGAACTAATGAAATTATACCTAATTCTCTCATACTGTAAAGAGAGAAAAATGAGTCTTTAAGTTTCAGACGAATTATTTTAATTTCCTTCAGCAGTTATGTAGATAAAATGAAGACTGTGGATCTAACCCATTGCTTTAATTTCAGTCATGTAAATATATCCTGCTCAATCATGATAATCTTTTAGTCATAGAAAAAATTTGTTTAAAACTTTATGCTACTTAGTAGTAGTTTAAATTTTATCCTTTAAAAATCAAATTTACAACGGCAGTTTTCTTGGGTAAAAGTTTATTCATAAAAAAATGGGGAAATATTAAATTTGCACTTTGATATTAAAAAAAAGAGGAAACCAAAAAAAATTGTGGTGGTGAATGTTTTTTTTTCAGTTCCCAAAGCAAACACTGTATATATTATAGGTTATTCATCATTTATTTTATTAAGCATAAACATTGTTATCCTTTATTCAATTCACTAAACAGTAGAATTTATTTTCATTGAACCAATGAAATTTTGGCAAATTTTTCAGTACACAAAATCATTTGCACAAAGTTGTAAGTATGTTTATGATGAATTACGTGAATCTTTTACTTCTAAACGATATGTCTAAATAATCTCCACTATATATCTAATTATGTTCTGTCACATTTTTGGATGCACAGTTTGTTTGAGTGTGTGTATTTGTTTTCCCTTGATGGTGTATTCGGGTGACAAGATTTGTATCTCCCATATATATATATATATATATATATATATATATATATATATATATATATATATATATATATATATATATATATGCACCAAGTTAAGCATAAACTGGATGATTGGCAAATATAAACAAACGAACAAGAGATTTGTTTTCACTTTTTCATATATATTATTTTTCCCACAAGACTTAGTTAACATGAAAATACTAGAAGGTCGACTGGAATACTGATCATTCCATATAGTGTAATGGATTCCATGGATAGTAAAACATTGGTCATTTCATGTTAACAAGTGATGAATATTTAAATATTTGGAAAGAATACATATTTCTAATAGAGAAGAGTATTATGAGAGTAGGATTAAAGATATTTATAATACTATATATAATTCCTTTATATATTGTTAATACTCATAATATATCTTTGACTGAATCAATAAACAATGTTAATAATGCAAAATTACCTATAATTGGACCACCAAGAGAGTTAATGCTTGAAATTGCATGTGATCAATTACATCCATGTATTAAAGCATCATGGCTTCCACCGATAGATTATCAACAATATTTTAATAAAAATGACAATACTACTACTAATAATAATAATAAACATGAATATGACAATAAGAATCAACTTTTAGCTTATAGAATACGTTATCATATTATACATCCAATTGAATTATCCAAAATCAATGTAAATAATCCTAATTATCTAGACAATAAATTATTAACCAAAACAATTGAGAAAAATATTACTGGTTTACAATATACCAGTAATCCAGGTGAACATTGTAAGTTTTAGTAAATGGTTATGTCATCGAAAAAATATTCTTTTTTCAGTCTTACAGTTATTTATTTGTTACATTTCCGTTTTTGATAAGGGGTGTGTAATTTAATCATTATTTACTTACGCCTGATAGCCCTCATGGAGGAGCGTAGGCCGACCATCACCATTCTCTATCGTAACTGTTATTAATTTTGTTTGTAGACTGTAGATTCTTCCTGTTGCTGATATTAAGGTCAACAGTTGATCAATTTATTCTTTGGGGTGGGGTGGGGAATATATGTAACTTTAATGTATTGACTTCATACCGTCACTTAGTCATAAAGTTTTAAGTCAAGTTGAATTGCGATTATCAATAGAATGTGGGACATATGTTTGTTTTTGTTAAACATTCATCAAATGGTTGTACTTGGATCTTCACATGGACTTTTCAAGTCTATTATCTTTCCCTTCAGAAGCGGAACTTGTTATTCACTAAGCTTTTGAATCGTTCATTATTAAGTGGCTTAAAATGTATTTGTTTAAATTATACTACCTTGCTGATACCTTATTAGGCAAAAGTGTTACTAGCACAACCGTCTATACGATGATTTCTAAAATTTAACTCGGTAATAATAATTAGACTGTCAAGTTATTGTTACATGGAAATAGGTGAAACGTTCGTTTACAGTTCGTAAATTTAACAGTAAAAAAATATTATTTCTTCGAAAAAATATCTTAATAAACTGATTAATATACTTGAATTCATGAGTTAATTGGAGCTAGACCACCATCGAAAACCTAGAATCACTAGACGGCCGTTTCGTCCCATCATGGGACTCCTCAGCAATGCACACTTACGATCGCGTGCACAGGATTCGAACCCAGGGCCTTCAGTCTTGCGCGCGAACGTTTAACCTCTAGACGTATGAGCCAGGTTTTTAACGGTGGTTTAACATTCATCGATTCATAATCTCAATCAAAAACTTGACAATTTCCGCAATCCCATATTGATAAAAATAAATAATTGTTTTTATTTGTGTGCTTTTCACATATTTGTTAGTTTTAAATTTGTCTGACTTTAGAAAACAAAATCACTCGTTGGTAAGAAACAAAGAATATGGTTTACATCAGAATGAATGATTTGATATTTCATAGTTTATAACATGGACTTATTTTAACTAGAAACTATTGAAAGGAAGTAAACACTAGATAATTGTGTTACTTTAGTATAAGACTATTGGGTATTTACTATTAAAGATCGCGTTGAAAATTGAACCCAACACTATAAGACCTTGGAGAGAGGGCTTGACTTTCTGTCCACTGAATTGATATCCAACAGTTTATATTCCTAACTTTGGTAAATTCGTAAGATCGTGCAATCATTATTAATGGATTGTCTAGTGTTACCTGTTTTCCAGCGGTTGTCTAGTCATAATCAATCTATGTTTTAAACTATAAAGTTTGAAGAATAAGGATTATGATTCACAGCTGATAGTTAGGGTTAGGAATTAAATTTACGGTTTTTCATCATGAACAAGACGCTATTTGGATAAATGGATGAGTAAATTTCTCGCCAAAATTCAAGACCTGTTATCTTGAATCTGATTGGTTCGTACACAAATTAGAATCTCTCCGGACAGACGAAACTGATTTATTTCATCATACTTTTAATTTGATATATTCCGTTTCCTTTTCTAATGAAGCTGATGTAAATTTATGGGTAATTTTAAATAATTCAATTGGAACACTTTTAATTATAAGATATACACTCAAGTAGTGAAATCGTCTGAATCGGAAAAGATTATTCCATTTCACGGATTAATATTGAAAAAGGAATATAAATATGACAATGTTTTATGAAGTTTGACAGTTCAAAAGTGATTCATTGATGGCATTGAACAAAGATTGAGCAACAGTGAGAATTAATTAATTGGATTGAATTGATTAGACTCCAACTTATTCTTTTTGGTGGCCTACTTGAACAAATGGGTTACCTGTTTTTACCAACTAGATATTTCAACAAATGATCTAATTTTGTTTGTTTGAATACATCATTATGGTTATTAGTCGCATGACCTAGTCAGGTGCGTTCGTGTAAAGTGTACAACCTTTCATTGCATAAGTTACAAAAAGCTCAATCAGAGATATCGTGGTTTTAGACAATACGTAGCAAAAAGAATGTATATTAATTAGATGTCAATTGACTGAACTGTTACCTTCTAACTGGCGATCATTCAATATTTATCGTCAGGATAGATCATGAAATAAGAAACGGAAACTTGTTGAAATACTTCGTGCTGCGAATTCATTATTGTATCAAAAATATAATATTGAATAAAGCCATTAATAATAATAATAATAAAATGAATTTTATATTTATCAGAGAGAAATGAATGCCATGACCTATATTTTATGTATGAACGTGTGTGGGGAGGAGTTAATAAGATGAAATTCATACGCCTATGGTTGTTATACATTGTAAAGTCTCTTTCGTTCTCCTTATATCAATAGTATGTTCAATCAAACAATGCTTAAACTCTTACAATATTAATGAATACAATAAACATTTTTCATATCTAATTCTACATAATTATTTGTGCTAAATACAAACCATGTTTAATACATAGGACGAAAAGAGCGTCCTGGATTTCACTGTTAGCCGCTATCCATTTTTGCTTAGAATGCTTGTGAATTAAGGCAATATCGAGGTAATACACACAATATGCACATATGTCAATAAGAGACTGATCGATTCTAGTTCTAAACATCAATTGGAATATTCAAGTAAATAATACCAAGTAAATTTAACACTCCCTTGTGTTATAAGTTTCTAGTTACATTTCTAAAAATGATGACTCGAAAGTAAATTTTTAAGAAGGAAACACATGTCACTTATCATGCATAATATATCCTGTTAAACTATGTACAATATGTCATCTATCAAAAATAATTGCCATTTTAATCTTTACTTGCCCCCAAATGCCGTGGTACGGTCGAGGATGGGAAAAGTCAGCACTCCCTCGAAAAATAATCTCACATGGACACACCTATACAACAACTGTCAAGCAAGTCATACTCAATTCATTCTCGTACCAAAGGTGTTGTTTACGAAATCGAGAGGACGAAAAGCGAATGTCTGGCATTTTAACCGGGTTGGTGGATACGGAGAGTCCATCTAGGGGAGTTGAATAACACTGATTTCAAACCAATGGTCCACATGAGATCCAGAATCTTGAGGGAATAAATAGCGTATGAACCTATTGTTGGTCACCAGCTAACATGGGACTGCTCCACTATCTTTTGGATCAGACCTTTAGGTTGAAGTCTCTTGGTGTGACCCTCTAAGAAAACCACGTGCTTCGGTTTGGGCACCCGTGCAGTATCACAGCTTACACACAAATCAAGTGACTTGTGTCGTTCATGTATATTTGGTACCTCCTTGTACCAATGTTTATGTGTTTAGAAAAATAATGACTATTATTAAAGCGTCTGATTTTAAAGCTTTCACAATGAACGAAATATTCCTACATCTTATCCTGTGTACGGTGAAGTGTTAGTACATAAGAAATAATATCAAAGAGTAAGAAACTATTGTTTGATCCCTTCTAGTTAATCAAATAACGTCAGCTCATTAAGAAAACTATCTTTGAGTTAAATAGATAGCCAGGTCTAGGACAAAATTCAGCATTCAGGATTATTTGTAATATAATATAAACAGAAGGGGTTTTGTGGAGATTGTAGTAATTTCAACAGTTGAGATCATGAGTCGATTCAAGCTAGACCACCATGGAAAACCTGGAAGCACTGGACGGCCATTTTGTCCTATTGTGATAGTATGTGAATTCAGGATTATTTGTAATATAATATAAGATAAAATCTTTAATGTTAGGATGACTAATATACAGTGTTGATTTAAATAGGTGTATGCGTTAAATGAAATTGTAAAATTAATGATCAGAATAAATATGATTAGCATGAGATGAGAGAGAATAATGTAACTTCATATCAAAAACCATGTAACATATCGAATGATATGAATTAAGTACAAATTAGTAAATAAGGATGGATACTGAATAAATTTCTCCATGGGTTTACAAATGTCATAACAATAATAATAGCAATCCCGTGAGCGGGATCGTGGATGCGCACTGTTGAGGAGTCCCACAATAGGAGGAAACAGCCGTCCAGTGCTTCCAGATTTTCAATGGTGATCTAACATCAATCGGTTCATGATCTCAATTAAAAACTTAGTAATCTCCACAACCTCTATACTGAAAATGATTATTAACTAACTAGGCCAGAAGTTGACCAAAGTCAAGGTAGCTGTTGAAAATATTTCTTCTGGACTCAAAGCTCCAACTTTCTGATCTAGATAGCTATTGCTTCAGACGTCTGAAGGATTCTTAGTTTGACAGATTTAAGTAAATTGCTGCAAACATGATATGTCATTGTAAATTATTGCTCCATGTTGACTGAATGGCCCATTTGTACTAAACGAGCTAGAATCGAGCGTTTAACAGTTTTAACTCCACAGGTATATGGATATAAAATTTAATTATGGTTCTCATAATAATGAAATTTAAAGCTGAAAGCTGATCAAAAGTATTATACTAGTAATGTTCATTATGTAGATTACTTACTTACGCCTGTAACTCCCAATGGAGCATAAGCCGCCGACCAGTATTCTCCAACTCATTCTGTCCTGGGCCTTCCTTTCTAGTTTTATTCAATTGTTGTTCATTCTTTTTATATCTGTCTCCATTTCCCAACGTAGTGTGTTTTTTGGTCTTCCACTTCTCTTTCGATCTTGAGGATTCCATGTGAGGGCTTATCTTGTGACGCATTTGGGTGCTTTCCTCAATGTGTGTCCTATCCACTTCCAGTGCTTCTCCCCGATTTCTTCCTCCGCTTTCAGATTTTCCGTGGTGGTCTAGCTTCAATTGACTCATGAATTCAACTATTAAATTAAAGTTTCATAGAGGCTCACATAAACATGATCATTTATGTTTTGATGGAAAAATCTGTAACGAACGATAAACACTATTGTCGATGCTTCTTAATATATAACACGAAAAGTAGAGATATAAATTAGTTGATGAGTTTGCAAACGTTTGTCAACTAAGGTGGTAAACTATGTGTTATGTATTTCTAGTCACTATCTGGTCGTATGTGTGGTGCTGACCTGCATAAGAATGGGCTAGATAAGGATAAATGTGATCAGAAAAACACATATGAAATTAATAACTACCTAAATGAACCTTGTCAGGAATTACTGATTTTCTGATCTCAGTCCGCTAGGTAACCGCAATGGATGTTTGACTAACATTTGCAGGATAACTTGAAATAATTTTTGATAATTGAATAAATAAATGACTATTCGAGCTTGTATATATTTTACCGACTTGACTAGGCTTTATGGATATGGTATGTTGGCGTTTTTAAAATGAATGGATTGGAAGGTTGTATTCAGTAAATAATATATCAACCTGATAGCCACTCTCTCTTCTTGTTCACACAGACTGAATCCCAACACTGAACATTTAGAATGTCAGAGTATTATTCGATAACTTGGTTATGCATAATATATGATATTTATCCAAGAAGTGATAGAAATTATAATAATATTAGGTTGTTCGAGGTGATTGACAGGAAACTTTGAACTTAAGTTTGTATCAGTCCTACAGGATGTCACTTGCAAACAGAATAGTTCAGTGATAATGTCTTACACTGAAGCTAGGTAAAGTGACTCTGAATTCAAAAGGAAGCATACATTTCCTTGATATTACAAGTATGTCTTGTAGTTGAATACAGACCAGCACGAAACTTAGGTCTAGGACTCTTTATGGAAAAAGTTAAACCAATGGCTTAATCGCAACTTGACCAACTAAATTCCATTAGAACTGATGCACCAGACAAACACTATTCTCTGATCAATCAGTTGTAATTGAATCTAATTCCCCCCTCCTCGAAATAAATAAGTGTGCAATGTAAACAATTCTAGGTTGGCATACCATTTTTTTTCTTAGTCCTAAGTATATGATTAAAAAACTACACATTATAATGAAAAGATTTTTTAAATGGAATTCACAATGAAAGAAAACTTCTCCGCAGAGAAGAAATCCCCTTATTGTTATTGTTTTCATTTACTTTCCCTTAAAACTATTTGTCCCCCATTTTGAATGTAACACTGAAGCTAATCAAGATTTACATAATGTTTCTTTGTATATTTTAAATATTGTTATAGTGTTCGGTGTAATTTACGAAGTTTCTGTGGCTGGAGTTACTGAGAATGGATATGGTCGAGATGCAATTAGTCGAATAGCTACACCTGAATCAGGTAAATATCTGTTACATTTGGAAAGTTGAAATGAAAAATAAAACGTTTTTTAATAGTCAGTAAGAAATTACAGTTGATTTGGTGATAATTTTGTACTTTATGCCATGGAGTAAGCTTGTTTAGCTAAATATCAAAAACCAAGAATTACCGGACTACCATTTTGTACTATTATATGACTTCTCCATAATATAAACCCAAGAATCTACTGAGGACTTTCAAATCTTATTAGGATCCTAAACCACTAAGTTAGGACCCAATGGTGTAGTACTACTGACGAAATCGAGATGTAATTCCTCGACTTCTCGGGAGATACCCCGACAAGTGATGCACAAATGCGTCAGGAATGAAATGGATATCGCCAATAGCAATGAATGATGGTAGTGCAAGAGTGTGAATGGATTGAAATATGAATTGTATACCATCGAATCTCGACTCACTTGTCTGGATTTCAGGTACTATCTCCAATACCTGAGGTTTCGGTATTCAATTTATGTTGCTTCCATGCATGTGTATTGCTAAGTTCCCTCTTGAGGGAAAACAGCTGTTGAGTACTTTTTGATTTTCACTTGTTACCTAACTAGAGTCAGAATGTGATGCAAACTATAAAACACCCTAACTTTATTTGTTCGGTATTTTTTATCATGATTTCACGAATAATTTTAGTCATCTTCTTCCAAGTTGCGACATTCTAGATTTTTAAAAAGTAATTAATGCAGGTTGAAAGGTAACTCCCTCGAATATAATTTTTAACAAATTATTCTGATTATCGAATAAATTACACCATAAGTAGAGAGGGTGGTGGTTAGCGGTGGAATCCAGGAAGTTCATTTTGTTCTACTTGGGACTAGTTGTCTGGGTGTATCTACATCCCAGAGTTGATGTCCACTCCGAGACACTGATTATAATGCTTGTGACTGAAGGCGATATCGAGGCAGTTCGCACAGGATGTACATATGCTAATAAGAGACTGATCAATTGCAGCTCTAAACATCAGTGGGAAGATTCAAAAAACCGATACAAAAATGAAATAAACTCCACCCTATTTCACAAGTCAGTGTCTATCTGGACTCAGTAACTAAGTGAATAACGCGACGGCTTAGTGTCCCGTAGTAGATATCAACTCTGAGATTCAGGTACACTCAGCCAACGAACCCCAAACAAGACTAAATGCGCGTTCTGGATTCAACTACTAGCCATCATCCATCTCTTCAGATGTATATGTTTGCAACAAGAAAGCTTTTTTCAATGCAGAATTGTTCAATTTCAATTTAATTGTTTGCCTCACTTCAACAGACACGAATGCACAGGGTTAAAATAATTCAGATCCTTATAAAATGTAAGAATAGTACTTTATATTTTATTAATCTCTTAATTTGTATGACCGGTTATCAAGTGTCCACAATGTCTCTAAACGATTAATGAGAATACATTTTGAATCATGAAATAACTGTTGATAACTATACTTATTCATAAGGAACTTTATCCGTATGTCAGAATTTGACAACTATTAAAATCAATCTGTTAATTGTGTCCGATTGTCCAATATTATAGTGCCATGAATTCATATGTAATAACTATCGAGTGCTACTTAGCTTTTAAGTCTTCTCTTTTTCATATCAACTTATGGAAGAAACTACTTTCAAACTATTTAATTAGTAATATATGCACCACAATAGTCTATAAATTAGTTTTCATGACCATTTTAAAGTTCACTTAAAAGAAAAAAACACAAGATTTATGAAATACAAAATGTTATACTTATATAATAAGATTTATGGTATTCAACTACACTATCTCTATATTTCCCTCAGTTACAGAAAAGGTTTATCATGTGTATGTATAAATATGTTCATCTCTTACTTATTCAGTAATATAATGATTTTTATCAATTTTTCTTTTAATATTTTGGTAATCATCATAAAAAAGCTTAAATCAACTAATAACATCTTTAACAGATACATTCAGTATTCAAAGGACACTAACCGCCATTTTCAAAATTTGTTTTTTTTTCTGTGCTTTACATCAGATAATTGGTGTTTTCGTTTTTTGACATGATTTTAATTTAATGTGTGAAATAATTCATAAACATATAACCTAATTAAGTTATTTAATAGTTGAATTCATGAATCAATGAGAGCTAGACCACCATGAAAAGATTGGAAGTACTAGACGGCTGTTTCATCCTAGTGTGGGACTCTTCAACAATGCACATCCAAGATTGGTTGAAGTTAGATAGTAACATCGTTAGACGCCGACTCAGTAGTCTAAAGGTTAAGCATTCACATGCGAGACTAATAGATCTTGAGTTCAAATCCTGCGAGGCAGGATCGTAAATACGGATTGCTAAGGAGTCCCATACTTGGATGAAATGCCTATCCAGTGCTTCCAAGTTTTCTATGGTCGTCTAGCTTCAATTGAATCATGATTTCAACGATTAAATTACTATAATATCTACAAAACCCCTCTTTGATTATTATTAAGTTATGTTTTAATTTATAGATTAATGGATAAAAATTAATGTAAGAAATTTTAATCATGCACAACATGCACATCAATGAAATTTACGACGGATATTTTGTGTTGTTTTTTATCATTTCGGAACTAATCATCTGGATGTAACTGTCTTCCAGGGTTGATGTTCATATTAGGAGTCAAACATAGTATATTTAACTTCACACTTTACTATGTTATCGACTAGGCTGCTGAATTCAGAGAGTTAACATTTTGTTAAACAAATATGATTCTTATACGTGATGATTTGTAGTTTTCAATTGTTGATGTTAAGGGCTAAAATTAATCACAGATTGAATTCAAAACTTGGTATGCATCTCAACAATGAAATACAGGTATATCTGACTAAAGAGTTTGAAATAAGATGGAATGTAGGTCGTAAATTCTATTGTTAACCAATATCCATATTTATTAAACTTTTTCATTTAAACATTTTTTTTCAATTGGCCTCACAGATAAAAATTTATACTGTGTTAACGACTAATGTACAACAAATCTATAATATCAGAAAGAGAGTTTTGTGGAGATGGTAGTAATTTAATAGTTGAATTCAAGAGTTGATAATGGGACTCGAACTCAGGACCTTTAATCTCACGCGCGAACGCCTAACCTCTGCTCCAGGAGTCCTGGTTAGAAGCCGTGACCAATGGAGTTCAACCGTGTCTGTTGTGAGGCAGTGACTCACTGAGGACAATGGTGAACGGTGGCTCAATTTTGTGGATTAGTTGAAGTTGGACAATGCAGGTTTGGTAGTCTATAGGCCTTTTGCTTTAAACCTTCAGTGTGTTATGCACTAAGCTATCAAATGTAACAGGTATGATATTTATGTCATTGTGATCAGTCACAAATAGGAAGAAATATGCATTTATGATCTTGTCACTGGTTACGATTCATCTGTTCTGATTAACTTATGAAACAATGGATTTCTTGAAGCGATCCACATTCGATGCACATGTGAAAACAAAGGCTTAATAAAATTCAATCGTGAAAATCACACTACTTCTTGTAATATAAAGCTATCTAATAATTCAGTCTTCTCTATCTCATATTAGTGTGTGCAAGTTATTAATACTGAAGTGCTTTTATGTGATAGATATACGATTTACTCAAAGTCCCATTGGTTTGGGTTCATATTAAAAGAATTCTTTATTTGTTTATTTGAACATAAAAATATTGGTGCAATGGGGCACCGAATACAAATGCGCCACACCTGTCAATTGATTTGTGTGTAGGCGGTGACACTGCACGGGTGCCAAAACCGAAGCACGTGGTTTTCTTAGAGGGTCACACCAAGAGACTTCAACTCAAAGGTCTGATCCATAAAGCAGTAAAGCAACGTCACGAGATACAGTCCTATGATAGTTGGTGACCAACAATAGGTTCATACGCTATTTATTCCCTCAAGATTCTGGATCTCATGTGGACCATTGGTTTGAAATCAGTGTTATTCAACTCCCCTAGATGGACTCTCCGTATCCACCAACCCGGTTAAAATGCCAGACATTCGCTTTTCGTCCTTTCGATTTCGTAAACAACACCTGTGGTACGAGAATGAATTGAGTATGACTTGTTTGACAGTTGTTGTATAGGCGTGTCCATGTGAGAACATTTCGAAAAGGAGATTTGACTCTTCTCACCCTCGACCGTACCAGGGCATTCGGGAGCCAAAAGAATCCTAATAATATCAAAATCAGCAAGTCCCTATCGAATTCAACAACAAAATTTAACAGTAATCTAATCCTTTAGAATTGTTTTATTTTTTTAACTTTAAAACCATGCTTAGATTAGACAGTCAAATTCATAGTCCCTATGCTATTAGTAATAAATACATATTACATGACATATTTCTATACCTTTCCCAAGTCTATTCATTAAAGATCTGGTTATTGAATATATAATGTCATTTCGGAAATCAAAAATAACTCACAAAAAGAAAACATAATCAAAGCAAATACAAGCCGAATAGAATCAAATTAGAATATAAATTTATTTACATATGTTCATGTATGTTCCAATTTACAAAGAGACTTTCCAAGATTACAAATTAAACAGACCAAGAAACGAACAACAAATCAGTTCCGCCTAATTGATAATGTATAAATAATTTAAATGTGAAAAATATAAAAAAATATTTAGTTCCACTTCATTATGGAATAGAGAAGGGGAATAAATTATATATATACTGAATTGATTTTTATTCTGTTTTAAGGAATTCATAGTTAAATGTTAAAAACATTAGAATAAACATTGATGTAGTATGTCGGAAGAAAAGTAGGTACAGTATACATAAATTCTGATATTAGTCTGTAAAGTCATTTACAGTTGATCAGAGTCATATTTGATTGGTGTAGACTATCTGGTTAGGGTTTGAACAATAAGGGTGATGAATGCTTGAAAACAGGATGAAATGGTTGAGTCTTTACATAGATCACAATTGATGGTTATTCTATGAGTAAAGATGGATAGTGGCTAGCAGTGGAATGCAGGAGGCGTGTTTTATACTATATGGGACTCGTCAGCTGGATGTACCTGCAGTTCAAAGTTGATGTTCACTTTGGGACTCGAACCTAGTACCGTTCGTTTCAAACGCCATCGCATTATCCACCTAGCTGTGAATAAAGCCTGTAATTTAAGGCAATATTAAGGCAATCCGCACAGGATGCACATATGCCAACAAGAGACTGATCAATTGCAGTCCTAAATAACAATAGGAAGATACAAGTAAACAACACCAGATGAATTTAAACTTCACCCCATAGCACAAGTAGGTGGCTATCAGAACTCAGTAGCTAAGTGGATAACATGATGGCGTTTGAAACGAATGGTAGTGGGTTCTTGTCGCAGAGTGAACATTAATTCTGAGATGCAGGTACATCCGGCTGACGAGTCCCAAATAAGACAAAACACGCATCTTGGATTCCACTGCTAGCCACTATCTATAGTTGCTTTTAAAGCTTGTGACTGAAGGCAGTATCGAGGTAATCCTCACAAGATGTACATATACCAACAAGTGACTGATCAGTTGCAATCCTAAACAACAATATGAATATACAAGCAAACAACACCAAGCGAATTTGATGGCTGTTCTATTCCAAAAAACTTTCACTAGCCAACAATTATCTGTGTAATTAATGGTTATCAGCATCTAAGAATCATCGATCTCAATCAAGTATGTTTTTATTGCTTAATAGTGAACGTCTAAAATAAATTCCTTTATTGTTTAGTGGAACATACTGAGATGTATACAGAATAATATGAGATAGGGAAATAACAATCTTACAATGAGCTTGGTGACTTAATTGTTCAGTTATTTGAGTTTCAGTGACAACTTAATCAGAATAACTGAATAGATAGTATGGTACGGATTGTTGCGTAGGTTTATTCAATCCATTAAGTATTCAGTGTAATAAAACAGTTAAGAAGATACATAGACAATCGCATGAATATACAAATGTACACTGATAGAAGTCAAAAGTCGATATGAATAAGTAGAAAATAATTAACTGGATAAAAATGGCACATCTAACAATTAGATAAATATACTGCTCTATATCAATTCATATAAAGTTTGTATAGACTTGTCATACTAATTCATCATTGTAAAACTATAAGCTTGAGTAGATATATGCTCCCTGTCTTCAAGATCAACTGTATGAGGCTACTATGATGAAGATTAGAAACTAAGCCGCAAAAGTATAAAACAATTTACTATTGAAAGATGAGACATTTTATTAATTGGTTAATTATTTACCAATAAGGGAAAACTAGTACTAATGTAGAAAAACATGCATTTGGTGTATATTAAATGATCCCCTAGTAATGATCCATGTCATATTTGTCTAGTCCTTTATCCTAAACAAGTCTATACGATTAATTTACGATGTGACCATTAGTTTAAATAATTTTGATAGTGTCAGTACTATACTTTAGTGTTACGTGATTAGAGGTAGTCAACGAGAAACCATGTAGTTCTTGAACAAGACATATCTACAATCTTTACGGAAGTAGTGCTCTCTGTGGAACTTAAACATTGATCTACCATCTTCTCAATTTGAAGCGTTCAGACTGAACTATTAAAGTCACAGTTGATCAATTGTAAGATATTGATTGATCACAAAATGGTAATCAATGTCGTATTTATCTACTCACTGATGTTACATAATCATAAAATAATTATTCGATTGATAATCAGTAAAACTATGGTTGACATCACATCTATTTACAACAAGATTTGATTGTGCTTTCTGCTTATTATTATTCATGGTAGAACAGTCCTAATGTAAGCAATCATTGACTAATGGAGGCAAATTTTTCTATATTCTCACTAAAAGATGGAATTGAGGAAGCCTGTGATAAAGGGGTTGGATGTTTAACTTTGATTTAATGATTTAAAGTTATTGCGCTCAACCCACGTCTATGAAATTCTAGATTTGATCTCGTGTAGACTTATGAATTCGCATTGTTAGGGAATTCAGATTTGCATTAAAATGATTTCCATTTGATTTACCTATCAACACTTTTAAAACTTCACAAAAAAGTCATTATTTAATAAATCATTCTTTGATTTAGCTCCTTCAGATGCTCCAAGTAACTTTCGTGTAGTTGGAGGTAATCAAACATCTGTACAGTTAGCTTGGGAACCCCCAAGATTATTATATCGAAATGGTATTATAATAAAATATCAAGTTCGATGTTATATTGTTGGTGAAGAAGAAACTCATGATGAATTAAAAACGCTAACAGAACAAACTTTAAAATTATCCAATCTACCAACAGCAACACATGCTTGTTTAGTACGTGCATGGACTAAGGCTGGTCCAGGACCTTGGAGTGATCGTATTCAATTTCTTATAAATCAGAAAGGTAGGTCAATTTGATAAAAAGAATATCGTTTTGTTAAACTCAGTGATCAGGTTTGTTAGCTTGAATATTACTACTAACATATTTAATAGCATTTTTATTGATAGTTGTTTTTTCTGAAAATTTCTCTCGAATTGTTAGCTCTTAACAAAAGTTTTAGTAACATCTAAATTTTCCCACATCATGCCTTGTTTTCGATGAACCATGTACACTCTACTTAAAAATATAGTTATTATGTTAATCAGAAAATGTAGTGAATCTCATTCGGGACTGATTGATTATTGTAAACAAAAGAAAGGTATGTAATTTCAGTTGTTAAGATCATGAGTCAATTGATGCTAGACCACCATGGAAAACGCGAAAGCACTGGACGGTCGTTTCGTCCTAGTATAGGTCCCCTCAGCATTGCACATCCAGGATCCCGTACACAGGATTCAATCTCAGGATCTTCAATTACGCCCGCGAACGCTTAACCTCTAGATTACTGAGTCAACGTCCAACGGTGTTAATATCTAACTTCAACTAATCCACGAATTTGAGCGACACATCCACCATTGTAATCAGTGAATTACTATCTCACAACAGACCCGGTTGAACTCCACCGGTCACTTCTCATGATCTCAACTATTAAAATTACCATACTATCCACAAAAAACCCTTCTGATATTTTCATTTGTTTGATTTCGTGACATTTTATAAATAAATGTAATATATTATCAGGTAGAAGTACAATATGGAGACAAGCCAATCAGAATTGAGATTATGGCTTTTAATTTTTCCCCCGCAAAATTCAAATATTATGTATAATAAGAAGTAGAAATACCTTTCTATACTACTCAAAATGTTCAAAATAATGAAAAAAAATTATTAGTTTGTTGCCATCATATAGTAAAAATAGTGGTCTTAAATGTAACAAATACTCAACTTCATCTGTTTAGATTGTTTATAATAGGAAAAATGAACATTATCCTTAATTAGTAACGTTAAATCCTTAATCCTGAAACAAATTTTAGCTTGTTGGTAATAGATATTATGAGACAGCACTTCAAGCATCTTTGCATGAAATTCATTCATATGTCTATGGAAGAGTTTTGTATTGTGGCAGATGTCAATTCGTAATAAAATCCATAACTTTAAACTGTTAACTCTTAAACTTCACTACCTAACCTTAGCCAAGAACAATGTGTGAACTCCTGTAATTTTGTTTGAAACGTTAAGTGGTGTTCAGTGAGACCGATAAATGAAATCCATAAGACGAATATATATATATCCCGTTACTTTTTTATTTGCAGTTAAAACAACGTGTAGAAAACCCTAACACGTTCATTTGTTTGCATTTTGCATCTTTGTAGTTTTTTTCTCAACCAGTTCATTTACAAAAGCCAGAAACTGACCGGAATCTTATCGTGATCATTTTAAGCTCATCTCTAAACTATACTCCTACCCAGTATTGCTCTCGTATCATTTATTAAGTTTGAAAAGTCAATGACAACCCATATACTTGTAGGCTTATTTGTTTTAATAAATAAACTTTCGTATAATTCTATCTCATTAAAACCAATTAAACATACTGAGGTATGTACTACTGACGTCGATAGATTTAAGTAGTATGTATCATTAATCGAAAGTAGAGTGAGGGGCGGCAGAAGGTTCAGAAGATCGAAGAGAAGCGAAGAGAACTAGAATCTAAGAGTGATTAGTATGGAAACGAAGGAACAATTAAGTCTGAGACAGTTGGTGAATATTTTGCAAATGATATATTTACTGTATGGTTCTCAGATTTTACCAAGAAATTATGTAATTTTGTATTTAAATACATTCGGTTGTCCCCGCCTGTGTTCACGTTCACTACAAGTGATAAAATCGAATCCAATGGAAAACTCCATCATTCAGCTATATGTGACAACAAATAATGGTTTTTTAATATAATTCATTTCATGATGATTTCATATAATTTTGGTACAAGCTAGTGTATAACTTTTTAAAAAAACAACACTAAAATTGTGGATTTGCTTATGAGTATAAACCTATGACCTTGTACAATAACAAACTCAGTGTCATTTAGATAATGAATCAATCATTGGACGACCGTTTCATCAGTGCTTATCTACTTAAGCGATACTCAAAATCAGAAACTTCGGATGTACACTGCTGAAGAGTTCTAGACTAAAACGAAACAGCTGCCTAATGCTTCCAAGTGTTCAATGATTCATGATCTCAATAAAAATCACTAATTACCACAATTTTACATTGATAATCTTATTCAATAATTTGAGAACACACATGTCTAATACATCATTGTTTTGAATGGTTTATCAGTTCAACGAACTTTATTCAGAACAAATGATGAATATTGTCAGAAGGATAAACATTTTTCAAAATAAAAAACAAACAGACATTCATACCGGTATGGGTTTATTTTCAATGTTTTTGCTTTCCATGTTTCCATCAATTACCAATATATATATATATATGGAAGATAAATGGAACTATTAATGAATAGATTTAGGAATGTGGGATGATTTCAAAGATATGCTATATATATGATAGATATATATACATAATGTTATTGTGTATTTCGACTGTATTTAATCCCTTCTATTCCATGAATTGAACATTTATAACCTACATTAATTGTTTTATTAAATGAATGAATACATGATTCACAATGTAAATAGATCTACTATGGTATTATCAAATGTAAAAGACATTTTAATTTTAGCATGCTATTTATCATTGTGTATGTGTGTATGTTTGTGTGAAAAGCAAACAAACAAACACATTTGATGTAAATATAATAGAAATAAATGTGTACTATGGAAATGTAATAGATGAATTATTTGTAATACTATAGTCAGTTCACAAGATTTGTTATTCTGGTAGTGGGTAGATCTGTTTTTTTGTTCAGCAACAAAAAAGACAGGATAAAATTAGTCATGGTAATGTGTTATAACTTGTCCCCTTGTGCCCAATTAACGCATGATGTAATGATAGCACCAATTTGAGAACTGTGAATTATCGGCCGGACCAATGAAGCATAAAACCCGTACAAGCAGTGCAGAGTCCTAATCGATCCTTCTTTCTGAATGGGCTTACCTGTTGAGATTAGAACACCAATCCCAGACTCTGCGATATAAATCATGTATTTCAAACATACTGGGTTTATATATAACTCAAACAGTCCACATCGTACCATAAAATAGAAGATAACATTTGTACAAGATTTAGCCAAAAGTGGCCGTGAATGTGTAGCAATTCGGAAAACTCTTCCGGTCTCCCACATTGTACGAGTATTCCATGTACCTAAATTAATGGTTGCTCTGGTTGTCAGAAGGGGCATCAGCCTAGTGACTTCCGAAGGAACTCGGCTTTCACCATGAAGCGTCATAATTCTTCTAAATGGAGACCTTCTAACTCCCAGAGCAGAGTTTAAATGGTTTGAATTATTTTTCCTGGTTAGCGTTTCTTTAGTGAGTTAGTTTTCTAAGGGATGGGGTCGCTAACCTCATGCCCAACCCTCCTCCTCTATCCGGGCTTGGGAACAGCAGTAGCCAAAGAAGGGCTCCAGGCGGAGTTAGGAAACAACCTACAACCAAATTATAATTAAATGAAATTAACTACGTAGTTGCAATCACCCATCAATTAGCTTTGAACATACATCTGGCGCTAGGTAACACAAAATGGTATATTCAGAATCTTGGAAGATCCTAAAATTCTTGTGGTATTTAAATATATAGAGAAACATTACAACTAAGTTGTTCAAGCTCCAACTAATTACCTGTAACAGTCAAATTGATTGACATAATTTGATCATTCTAACGAGTATATGATATGACATCGATTAATGCTAATTGATCATTTACTTACTTACTTAATTACGCCTGTTACGCCTAATGGAGCATATTCAGCCGACCAGCATTCTCCAACTCACTGTCACGGGCCTTCCTTTCTAGTTCCATCCAATTCTTGTTCATTTTTCTTATGTCTATCTCCATTTCCCGGCGTAATGTGTTTTTTGGTCTTCCACTTCTCTCTCAATCTTGAGGATTCCATGGGAGGGCTTGTCTTGTGACGCAGTTGGGTGCATTCCTCAATGTGTGTCCTATCCAATTCCAGCGCTTCTTCCTGATTTCTTCCTCCACTGGGATCTGGTTTGTTCTCTCCCACAGTAGGTTGTTGCTAATAGTGTCCGGCCAATGGATCTGAAGTATTTTGCGTAGACAATTGTTAATAAACACATGTATTTTCTGGATGATGGCTTTCGTAGTTCTCCTGGTTTCCGCCCCATACAGTAGAACTGTCTTGACATTTGTATTGAAAATTCTGACCTTGGTGTTGGTTGACAGTTGTTTTGAGTTCCAGATGTTCATCAGTTGTAAATATGCTGCTCTTGTTTTTCCGATCTGCGCCTTCACATCGACATCAGATCCACCGTGTTCATCAATGATACTGCCCAGATATGTAAAGGTTTTTACATCTTCCAAATCTGATCATTTAGTATACTGAAATTTACAACTGATTAATCATTTGGTAATGACTAATGTTATATTTATCTAGTCTTTTAGTGTCAATAGAATTTCATTTATCAAGTTGCAATATGGTCACTAGTCAAAGTTACTCTACATCGGGTGAATTATATTGAGACGCTAGATGGTTGGACGTATTGATTAGATTGAACTGAACCTAAATTCTATACTAGTTAATATTTTTTAATGCAATGTACCTACACTCTTGAAGTACCCATTATTCCCTATGAAATTCAACCTTATTTATATAGTGACTTTCACATAGTATTAAGAGAATTTATATTATGAATATGAATGTTTAAAATTATTTATTCTTTAACTTAATCATATTTGTTTTTAGGTCCATCTCCTCCGTTCAATATTCAAGTCTATTGGAAAACACAGTATATTTTAACAATTGAATGGAATCTACCAAAAGATAAAGAAAATATAGCTTATTTCATTATTTATTATGCAAAACAAAATAATCCAAAATTATGGCATAAATATTTTGTAAAAGATTTGAAAACAACAAAAGATTTAGTAAGTAACAAATCTAGGGTGATCAATATTGAATAGAAATTTATGTTAATGTTTACTTGTTAATTCTGCTTAGCGTTTTTCTACGAGATGGGGTCGCTAACACCATGCCCAACCCTCCTTCTTTAACCGGACTTGGGACCGGCAGTAACTCTAGAAGAGCTACAGGCCCTTTTATCACATACACATGAACAAATGCAGATAAAGACAGCCAGTGTAGCAGCAGTCTCTGCGTCAGTAGGCCTCAGCATACACAAAGGGAAAACTAAGGTCCTCAAATTCAAAGCGGAGAACAGCAATCCAATCACTCTTGATGGCGAAACTCTGGAAGATGTAGAATCCTTCACATAACTGGGAAGCATCATCGATGAACAAGGAGGTTCAGATGCAGACATAAAGGCGAGGATTGGAAGAGCAAGGGCCGCATTCCTATTATTGAAGAACATATGGAACTCAAAACAACTGTCAACCAATATCAAAGTGAGAATCTTCAACACCAATGTCAAGGCAGTTCTACTGTATGAAGCTGAAACTTGGAGAACTACTACAACCATCATTAAACATGTATAAGTATTTATAAGCAGTTGTATAAGCAAGGTACTCAACGTCCATTGGCCGGATACCATCAGCAACAGCCTTCTGTGGAAGAGAACAAACCAGCTTCCAGCGGAAGAAGAAATTAGGAAGAGACGATGGAAATGGATAGAACATACATTACGCAAATCGTCAAACTGCATCACGAGACAAGCCCTGACTTGGAATCCTGAAGGGAAGCGGAAAAGAGGAAGGCCAAATAACACATTACGTCGGGAAATAGAAGCAGATATGAAAAGGATGAATAACAACTGGAAGGAGCTGGAAAGGATTGCTTAGGACAGGTTTGGATGGAGAATGCTGGTGAGCGGCCTATGCTTCTTCACGAGGAGTAAAAGGCGCAAGTAAGTAAGTAAGTTACTTGTTAATTAACTAGTTAAACGGATAACTTTGGTTGATGCAAGATATATTTAATGAAATAATGCACTGTGAATAGTTCTTACCTAGTATAATCGTAACTTTTAGGAGTATTCTACAAAAATGAGGTTGATTTGAATCCCACAAGAAGTTTCGGTTCTTTCAATACTAAAGATATGAGTTATTGAGGGTTGACAACTAACACGACGCTTCTGACTACCTTGAGTATTGATTAGTTACTTAGACTAATGACCACATTGTAATTTATATCAATACTGGATAGACATGAATAATGTTTGTTTATATTTAGTAATCAACTAGCGTAAACGTTCATTTGTAACCTTGATAACCTTAGTTGATATTTGATCTTGATATCTAGTCAGAATTATAAAGTACCTAAAAAATACTATCCTTAAAATTAACAGATTTTCATTCAAGCTAGAAACTTTGAACCAAACAATTAGAGATTCACATTCATGATAAGTTTATATTATTATTGAAATATTTGTCAAAAGAGAAGATAAATTTGATATACTAACTTCTAAGAATATACAAATACAAATAATTCCACTTCCTATTTAAACTTTATATCATTTTTATAAGCGAAGATGGATAGTGGCTAGCAGTAGAATCTAGGAGGTACATTCCGTCCTATTCGGGACTCGTCAGCTGGATGTACCTGCATCTTATAATTAATGTTCACTCTGCAACTCGAATCCAGTACAGTTCGCTTGAGACGCCATCACGTTATCCACTTAGCTACTGAGTTCTGATAGCCACCTACTTGTGCTATGGGGTGAAGTTTAAATTCATTTGGTGTTGTTAACTTGTATCTTCCTATTGTTATTTAGGACTGCAATTGATCAGTCTCTTGTTCGCATATGTGCATCCTGTGTGGATCGCCTCTATATTGCCTTAGGTCACAAGCTTTATAAGCAAAGATGAATAGTAGCTAGCAGTGGAATCCAAGATATGCGTTTCATCTGAGATACAGATACATCCAGCTGACGACTCGCAAATAGGACAAAACGCGCATCCTGTATTCCACTGCTAGCTACAATACATCTTTGCTTATAATACTTGTGAATTTATGCAATATCGAGGCAATGCGCACAGTATACACATATGCCACCAAGAGACTGATCAATTGCAGTCCTAAATAACAATCGGAAGATACAATTAAACAACACCAAATGTATTTATACCCTTTTTATATACATATATCATAAAGATATAATATAAGCTAACCAAAAAACAACAATTTAACCCAAAGCTTATCCACACAACTACCGATTATTGAGAGTTCATGTTAGTAAATTGATTCTTTTCAATAAAATAATCATACGTTCTAACCTATATATATATAACTTGAATAATCACTAAAGTAACAACACAAATCTCTTTATGACGTCAATGATATCAAATTGTAAATCTCATTTTCATATCTCCATCTATTACATAATATAATAAGTCATGTTAAAGGCTATAAGTTCATTTTATTTTTTTTCTTTCACTTAAACATTATGACGTATGAAATGACGAAAGAAGAAAAAAAAGAAAAATAAAGGAAAAAAAGAAAAAGAAAAATCAAGTCATTCATCTAAACAAATCACAATAAGTATACAAAGTATATTCATCATCTTAAGAAAAAAAAAGAAAAGAAAAGAAAAGAAAAGAAGAACAAAATAGTAACAAGAGACCATTTTATTTGTTAAGTAGTTGGTTAAAATAAAATCAAAAATGTTCAATACGTATATATGGAGGGAAAACACTTTTGTTGTTGTTGTTGTTATTATTCGATTAACTGTTATCCATGATGAAACTTTACATTCTAAACAGTGATTCATATATAATGATAAATATTTACTGAAACTAATATTGTAAAAAGATTTGAAACGTATAATGCTATATAATATGTTGATAATATGGTTTAGAGTTATGTAATATGTAATAGTTATTCTATTCTTTAAGGCAGAGAGAGAATGAATGAAATAAAACTTATTTAAGCTAAATCACTTAATATTTCACTGGTTGAAATCATGAGTCAATTAAAGCTAGACCATCATGGAAAACCTGGAAGCACTGGACGGCCGTTTCGTTCTAGTATGGAACTCCTCAGCAGTGCGCATCCATGATCCCGTACCCCGCGAGATTCGAACCCGGTCGGTCTCGCGCCAGGTGCTTAACGAACTAGACCACTGAGCCGGTCGGCATCCAACGGTGTTAATGTCTAACTTCAACCAATCCACGAAGTTGCAACACCGTACACCATCGTCTTCAGTGAGTTCCTATCTCATAATAGACCTTGTTGAACTCCACTGGTAACGACTTCTCACTAGAACTCCAGGAAATGCCTCTTGGAGACCGTCACTAATGAGCAGATGATGATTATAATCAGAGAGGGGTTTTGTGAAGATTTATAGAAATTTCACTGGTTGAAATCATGAGTAAATTGAAGCTAGACCATCATGGAAAACCTGGAAGCACTGGACGGTTGTTTCGTCCTAGTATGGGACTCCTCAGCAGTGCGCATTCACGATCCCTCTCTCCGCGAGATTTAAACCCAGGATCTACCAGTCTCGCGTTAGGCGCTTAACCAACTAGACCACTGAGCCGGCATATATACTGAGTATAGACAGCATAACAGCATTCTGTATTCAACTCTGTCCTGGGCAATACTTTCCAGTTGTTCTCAGTTGCTATTCATCATTTTTATGTTGGTTTCCAATTCTTGATGTAGTATGTTCTGTGGCTTTGTTCATTTGCGTTGCCCTTCAGGATTCCAAGTTAGGATTTGCTTCATGATGTAGTTTGATGAATATCATGATGTATGTTCTATTCATTTCCAATGTCTTTTCCTAATTTCCTCTTCAGTTCGTGGCTGGATTGTTCACTCACACAGTAGGCTGTTGTTGATGGTATCTGACCAATGGATATTGAGTATCTTACATAGATAATGGTTTATAAATACTTGTAGTTTTTTGATGATAGTTGTTGTGGTTCCCCACATTTCAGCTCGGTACAGTAGAACTATCTTGATGTTCGTATTGAAGTAATATAACTATTTTCAGTTTTATGGAAGATTATTTATGAACTGAATTGCTCAAGAGTAATCTTAATCCGTAAGGAGTACATGTACGCCTTATTGATATGTTTTAACTAACAGGAAACTTAGATAAAGCAGGGTATTTTGATGACTACCTTTGACTACCTAATATACAAAGAATGAAGATCTGGCAGTGTGGGGTTGTGGAGACTGTTGGATTTTATTCAAATTTTATTCAAATAATAACTGAAAGCATGGAAGAAATGGAAGATCGTTTTGGTCTTGTATGGGTCTCATCAGCAGTGCGCTCCAACGACCTCGCAACTGGAAATCAAACTTAAGACTTCTGCCTTCGTCTCTAAACGTCTAAACTCTAAACCACTGACATGGGATCCAATGCTGTATAAATCTAATTTCAATCAGTCTTTGATATTGCGTGACTATTTTTTGTTGATTTTAGTAGATAACTACTTAACACCCTACATGATTGAATTCCATCGGTCACCGCTTCTCACTAGAACTCCGGAAATTACTAGTGAATGATGTTAAGAAGTCTGATTAGTAAAAATTTTGATTTGAGACTTGCTACTGATAACCATTCAGAAAATTTTAATTAACTTCAGTTTGACAGCTAAATTAGTGCCTTCTGAAAGCAAATCGACCGCTGAAGAATGAAACTGAGGCATTTTTCTCACCATTGAAACTATAATCAGTATTTTGAGGAAAGTGTGTGTTAGAGCAACAAAGAAGTGATACTCCCTGTTGGATACAGGCTCACATGAACCAACCCTAAAAAAAGGGAGGCTACCACTAACCTATTCAAGCAGCAACTGACCCTGTGTTAGACTTGGATATTTACAATTGACTGATCGATCAGTAGTAACTGATGTCATGTTTGTCTATCCTTTGAAAGATGGTCGAATTCTATTGATTTATTGAGCCATTATAATTTGAAAATTTACTATGTTGAAACAATTCTGAACATACTTATCATCATTATGAGAACTCAACATTTATATTGTGTTGCTCAGGACACTAATTAAGCTTCTCACATGTAAACTACATTGTTATCAAAAATGACAACTACTGATCTCATTGAACTTATAGACCGATCTAAGTTAGACCACTTGTAGGCACTAGACTGCCATTTTTCCTAAGTTCAAGACTTCTCAGCGGTGCACATCCACGACTATGCAAACGAGAATCGAACCCGGGATATTTGAACAATAAACCTCTATACCATAGAGACGCGACCCAGTGGTGCCTATGTTTAACTTCGATCAATCTTACTGATCTAATCATAACCTTTTTTGTGACAAAACGTAACTTCACTTTACTTATTTCTTTGTTCAATAGTTTTTATCTTCATAAATATTTTTAAAAATTATTTTAGGGTAATTTAAGTCCAGATGATGAGTACTTAATTCGTTTAAGTTCAGTTGACTTAGATGGGAATGAAGGTGAATTATCAGATATCATTAAAACTAATTCTTATCAACATTCAACAATCAATGACAATAGTAATGGTAATATCGATAATAATAATAATGATAATGATATGAACAATAAACGAAATCATAATTTTATATTCATGGATATACCTGATCAACCAGAGAAATTTACTGTACAAAATTTTAAATGTATACATAGAACAATGAGTACAATTACAATTGAATGGTTACCTCCAATACATTTAGCTAATCTACTTGAATATCAGGTAAGTTATTGTTTAAACAAAGATCTGTATTCATTTATCACCTTGAACATAGGATATTCTGAATTTTACAAACGATATAATCTATAAGCAATAATGGATAGTAGCTAGCAGTAATATATAAGACGTGCATTTCATCCTATTTGGAACTCGTTAGTTGAATGTAGCTATATCTCATAGTTGACGTTCACTCTGGGACTTGAACCCAGTACAGTTCGTTTTAAACGCCATCACGTTATTCACTTAGTTACTGAGTCCTGATAGCCAACTGCTTGTGGGGAAGTTTTAAACTCACTTGGTGTTGTTTGCTTGTATCTTCCCATTGTTTTTCCATTGCTAGCCACTATCCATCTTTGCTTATAAAGCTTGTAACCTAAGGCAATATAGAGGCGATCCACACACGATGCACATATGCCAACAAGAGACTGATCAATTACAGTCCTAAATAACAATCGGAAGATACAAGGAAACAACACCAAGTCAAGTTAATTTATTTTTTGTAAATAAAATCATCATATATGGTTAATTTTCTTTATGAACTACTATTAAAAACCAGAGGAACATTGAACAACGATTCATTCAAGTGTCAAACTCTTTACTTGGTCGGACATATGACTCTTTCTCTATATATATAATCTAATCAAGAAGTTTCAGCTTATATGATGAGGGTGATAATTTTAAAGTAGTGAATGATTTTGACGACGTTCTCATAGGCTTTGGTCGCCATTTTTCTAGACGTCCACTTATTGTCAGAAATTGTTTAGTTTCAGGCATATTTTCATTAATTAGTTACATCTGTTAACTGCTTGTAAATACACTCTTTCATTAGAATGGTTATAACTTATAGAGAATTGAATTACTGAAAAACTCAAGTCATACTATCATAATGGTTTGTTTGTTTTCATGCTCAATTATTTTTAGAGAAATGGGAAACAATTATTGTGGGATTTATACATTGAATGTATATTCAACAATGAAAGTAGATATTATTGAAGCATGATAGATGCTAAACATTAACAGATAAATATGAATACCAGCTTCCTACTATTCAGAATCTTCTTATACACTTTTTTATGGAAGGTTCATAATGTGACTGATTAAAAGTAGGAATTTCGTCGCATCTTCACACAGATTTGTGCTCAGAACTCTGTACTGTAATCAAACATATGACAGCGAATGTAGCGGGCATCACTACTATTATTATTATTCTTGGATTTCTAATTTTGATTAATCTGTAGTATGGTAAAATCATCATATAATAATAATAATAATAATAATTATTATTATTATTATCAGAAGGGGGTTTTGTGGAGATTTTAGTAATTTCATGGTTGAACTCATGAGTCAATTGAAGCTTAACCACCATGGAAAACTTGGAAGCGCTTGATAGCCATTTCGTCTTAATATGGGACTCCTCAATAGTACGCATCCAAGATCCTGCATCGCGAGACTCGAACCCCGGACCTATCAGTCTCGTAAGCGAACGCTTTAATCCTATTTTGATCATTGAGTCATCATCCAACGGTGTCAGTGTCTAAACTTAATCAATCCGGAGGGCGGATCGTGTACGCGCACTGCTGAGGAGTCTAATACCAGGACGAAACGACCGTCCAGTGCTTCCAGGTTTTCCATGGTGATCTAGCTCCAACTGACTCATGAATTCGACTATAAAATTATTATTAATGGCTTTATCCAATATTATATTTTGGTACAATATAGAATTCTCAGCACGATGTATTTCAATAAGTTGTACAGAATGTATGTAATTTTAAACAAACAAAAGAAAATATGATGTGAAGATGATTGTCCATATTGTGTATGATTATTCCAGTTCATTATCACGTTTCTGCTAAGACACGTTCATGTTCTGAATGATACAAGCTGTTTTGAATGTTTAAACGAAGAGTATCTTTTATTATTACAATCATCTACGTGTTTTATGATTTGGTCTATCAGTGAATTGTTGAAAATCCGCTGTCAATTTTTCCTTTAAAATATACTACTGAATAATGTGTCTTAAGCGTATATATTGATCTCACAAAATAAGTATCAAAAAATATTAATAATATTGAGTGAAAACGCTATAAGGCTCATCAACTAATAAATCCAATAAATCTTCTAATTGAACGCTTGATTTGGTCTCCTAGGCTCTTCTAGTAACCGTCGGGCTAAATCTATACGACAACTTGAACACTAGAGAAAATCTGCGAAATATGAAAAGAACTCTTTACTTCGAAGTTCCTTTATGTACACAAAATCTAGGGTATTTATAGCATTTCAGATAGCCTTGGACTTCTGGAAAGCTCTAGAACCATTCTAAACATAATAGCAGGATAGGCAACCACCCAATTAGAAACGTGACATTTGACTTCTCACCTTCCAGATGTTTCTGAGAAACTCCTATCGAATACTGATTGGATAAGATGTTTCCCAGTGTTTTCAAGGCCGCACTAGGCTTTTTGCAGGGAATTTTCTGGATCTCCTCGACAAAATCAATTAAAATTTTAAATAGTTAGTTAATTTCTGATTGTTAATCGATATTCTAACCGTTTCATCCTGTATAATTCTTACTATATGTTCAATGAAGTTACTTTTACCATCGTGAGTAATAATTAAGCTTTACATTTAAATTTTAATTCTACCGGTAAATGAATGACCTATAAAATACATTATTTCATTCAAATCTACCACATCAAATCATAGTTAGTACGTAGCTGACATTGTCTCGTTACTATTAAAAACTGATTTCAATATAATGAATTGAGTGTTAGTGCTGAGGAATCGCATACTAGGACGAGACGGCCGTTCAGTGCTTCCAGGTTTTCCATGGTGGTCTAGTTTCAATTGACTCATGACTTCAATCTGTGAAATTTCTAAAAACCTCCACAAACCTCTTCTGAATGTTGGTGGTCAAAGTTTATTCATTCCGATTATTTGAAAACATCATCTTGATGATGTATATAATCGAGACTTTATCATTGACAATACCTAATTGACTATTTGATTCTATAAAATACTATCAAGAAGTATGAAACTTCTTTGCAAAGTGTATAAAAATAATCGTTAATGTTTTCTTTCTCTCTCTCTCTCTCTTTTTCTCTTCTAACTGCTTATTTTAGTTACACATATCTGGACGAAGTGAATTTATCACAAGTAGTGGTGTATTGAAATCTCTTCATTTAGGTGACATACAATTACATCGAAATATTGATAAACAAATTGATAATAATGAACCGGAATTGTTAAATTGGCCATTAGTTAATATGCTTAATAGTATGTCAGAACTCGAAGATCATCATCATCCACAGCAACAAAGGCATAAAATGCAAATACCAAATTTAAAACCAAATAGTCAATATAAAATAACTATTCGTCCAATTTATCGTGCACTTATCGCAGAGGGTAATATAGGCGCTAAAGAAGGTATCCCAGTAACTATAATCTGTCATACAGAATGGAGTGGTAAGCATATCTTCGCTATATTATTATTATTATGTTAATATCCTAGTTTGAGTATTTCAATAGTATCAGCCACTTTTTCATACTCAATTAGACAATTATTCAAATATAATGCGTAAATATCACACTTTATTTATAGTATAAGACTTCAGTGATGATCTACCAAGTTGTACAATGAATTAAGTATCTTTATTGTTTTTTATTATATATTAGCTTTATATATATTAGCTTTATTCAATATAATATTTTTGGGACAATATAGAATTTTCCTGGTCGAATTCATGAGTCGATTAAGGTTAGACCACCATGAAAACCTGGAAGCACCAGATAGCCGTTTCGTTTTAGTATGGGACTCTTCAGAAGACCGAAACTCGAGCCGAGAGCCTTCGGTCTCGAGCGTGAACGCCTAACTTCTATCTTGACCACTGAACCGGCATCCAATGGTATTAATGTCTAACCTCAACCAATCTACAATAGGATGAAACAGCAGTCCAATGCTTCCAGTTTTCTAATGTTAGTCTAACATCAATCAGTTCATGATTTCAATCAAAAACTTAATCATCTCCATAACCTCATATTGATAATAGGCGTTTCAATTATCTTAGAGACTATCATTAGTAAAGTAATTTTATTGAAATTATGTGGAAAAAAAAGAAGCATTAATGGAATGTTTATCTTAGAACAACTAAATAGCGCAAAAATGGTGTATAATAACACAGATACATTTGTATATATAAAGATTTCTAAAGTAAACCATCTGTTTTATTGTATATTATTATGATTATTAGATTGGCAAAATGCATTGAATGATTCACCTTAGATTGAATAAACAAAATTGATTACAGAATAATTATAATATAATATACATACTTCATTCTTTTTAAATCATAGATTTATATTCATAGTTGAAATCATGAACTGCTCTTAGTTAGTTGTTTCGCCCTGTTATGCATATCCATGACTCTGTATCTAATAATTGGATCCAAGACCTATGGTCTTGTGCATGAACACTTAACCTCTAGATCAATGAGCCGATATACAATGGTTAATATGTCTAAATTCAGTTAGTTAACGTTACAGCACAACCGACATCCACTGTCAGTTAGAGTTAATTGTTTCACATTTGACAGATTTATATGTAATCACAATTATCGCTTCTTTGATTGAATAAATGCAACATTACAATTCAGAATAAAACCGTTATCATAATCAGTAATAGATCCATTTCTTAGATTTAGTTATTGATATTAAGTTTTTAGATGTAGTTTATGAGAAACTATATAGTTTGTTAATATTCGTCAACAAGCGAACTGATGCTTTGTGATGGATTCAAGTTAAAGTCACTCAGTTTCACAGTTTCGGATGTTTCCACTTATCTTTTCGGGTCATGACTATTCTAATGATGAAACTAAATAGCGTATTACTTTACTATTTTAAGTAACAGTTTCTATCTAGACTGTAATAACTGGTAATGAACTAATGTCAATCAATTTTATAATGATTGATTGTATTTCAAACATATTAATTTACATGTTAAGTAGAGATTTAAAAATGCTCTGGCACGGCTTAGAGTGGGGGAAGTCAGCTCTCCCTCTCGAAATGCTCTCACATGACCATGTGCATACAACCACTGCCAGGGAAATCTTACTCACTGCCTTCTCGCACCACGGGTGTTGTTTACGAAGTTAAGAGGACGAAAAAGGAACGTCCAGTGCTTTGACCGGGTTGGTGGATACGGAGGATCCACCTTGAGGAGTTGGAAAACCCTGATTCCTGATCCAAGATCCTGAGGAAACAAATAGTGTATGAACCTATTGTTGGTCGCCAGATACCACGTTGTTCCACTGCCCTGTGGATTGGACCTTTAGGTTGAAGGCTCGGAGTATGGCCCCTTAACAAAAAAACCACCTGCTTCGGTTTGGGCACCTGGGCAGTATCCTAGCTCACACACAAACCAAATGATTTGTGTGGTGCATATCTATTTGGTGCTTCCTTGTATCAATGTTTATGTATTTAAATAAATAGTTATGTTAACTATTGGAGAATTAATGACACAAGTTAACTCCCAGGGTATTGAAAGAGGTGGAATGGAGTTCAAATTGACGACTTCAATATTATAAAGTATCCTTTATTCATCAAGTCATTACTTCACTACTGATATTTACTTCAACTATGAAATATCTCCATTTCGAAATTTGATTGACATAAAACTATAAACTAGATGCTAAAACTTATCAATAATGTTGTTGTACAACATAACGATTTAGAATCAGCTAGTGGATCTCAATTCACTAAGCTAGATGGTGTTATTATTCAGTTGTTCACAGCTATAGCAAAAAATACACCAAGCATTTTCAAAGAATATTATCCCTGAGAGGTTATTATTCTTATATTGTATTATATAAAATTATTTTTGAATGCTTTTTGTTTGGGAAAAAAACTTGCAATTCCTCTTTTCTTTCTAGCACCAGAACATATAAAACAACCAGAATTACTTGCAATTTATGCAGGTCCTTCAGATCCTCAAGGACCAACTTCAATAATTGAAGTAAAATTACATCGTGTATCAGAAGAAAATGGTCCTATACATAATTATTATGTGATTATATCACCAGAATTGAATACAATAACATTGAATAAAAATATAATCAATAATATTCCATTGAAATCATCCAAATCCCCAGTTATTGATCCATCTGATTATGATTTGAAAATTTTATCACAAAATAATGATTTACCAAGTAATCAAGCACCTTATTTAGCTTTAGCACGACATACAATAAATTTATTTAAACCAAATCATGAAACAGCAATTATTATATTAGGTAGTGAAGAGGTAGATAATTTTGTTTTGGAAACACAATACTACTTGGGTACTATAACTAGTAGAAATCAAACTTATGATAGAAATTTAATGAAAACACCTAATGTAGGATCATATTTTCATAATGATATATCAGATATACAGGAAGATGATAATCAGATCAGTAAAAATAATGAAAACAAACCTTATTATCATAATTTTAATAGTAATATGTTTATGAAAACTATACAAGTAAATAATAAACGTCTTTATCAATCCACTATATATCGTGTTGCTTTGAGAGCATGTTCACAGGTAAGTAAATGGTATGAACAATCTGTTCTATGTATACTATGTTTCAGTAGTAAGTTTTTTTTTAACATAAATGTTGATGTTATATCAGAATTTAAGTTGGAGACTCTTATGAATCCAGTGTCCATCTTGTTGTGTTAATGAAGTATGGTAACTTGAACCGATGCATATATATGCCTGATCCTACATTGTAGCTGACTGACTGACTAATAGATATGAACTAATTTTAAAACAATTACCAAATCAACAAAGGTGTGTAACTTCTTATAACTAGTATACTAGACAAATGATCATATTTATCTTTCTAAATAAAGTAGCATAATGGAGAAGTTGACAAACATTTCATAATATGGCTTCATGAACACCAACTTTAACATTTTAATGGTTTTAATTTCAGGAAAAATTTAAATAAACGATTTCTTTATTTAAATAGTCAAGAAGCGAGTTTATCAAAGAAACTGCTAGTATAAGATTTGATCCTTCCTTATTTCTTCTTCATTTCTTTATAAGGTTTTGTGTAGTCTATTAAATTTTCATAGTTTTAATAACGGATTAATCTTACTTAGACAATTATTAGAAACCACGATACACTGAATAGCTATTTCGTTTTAGGATGCAGCTCTCAATAACTCTATTTTAATGCATTGGCGAATAGCGATACATTCACAATCGTTGTTGATAGATGATAGAAAGTGAACGACCAAATTAAATAATTCGGTATATGAATCATAGTTATATTCTTATTTAAGATTTCTTCCATTCGGTTATCATTAAATTTGAGACGATCTAGTTTATAAATTATTTTGGCTGGATACTAACGACGACGTTTTTTTAAAAAAGTCAATATGAAGGGTTTGACGCATTCAGAATGGGTAACCAGAGGTGACAGCATTTTAAAATACATTACTATTATTATTATCATCATCGTAGCATTCATAAATCGTGTAAGTGTAAGGTGTATATTGTTATAACTTGTGGCCTTGTGCCCTATTAATATAAAATGTAATGATATCGCCAATTAGAGAACAGTGATTTATCGACCAGACCAATGACACGTAAACCCGTACGACCAGTTTATAGTCCTTATCGGTTCTTCTTCCTGCCTAACCCTGCCTGTTAGAGTCCAAAACACCAATCTCAACCTCTGCCACATAAGTCATGTATTTCAAACGTACTGGGTTAATATACAAAACCAAACAGACCACACCATACCATAAAATAGAAAATAACATTTGTACAAGATCTAGTCAAGAAGTGGCTGTGAATGTAGGATACTGTAATTAATAGACTGGGCATAACTCAAGAATGGTAAATCGTATAATAATAGTCTATCGGTCAAAATAAAGCTTATAATAAGAGAAATATGAATATGCATAGTTTAACTACTTAATAATTATACAATAAATAGATACATATCGTATTGGTTCATAAATAGTTCTCGAAAGTTACCATTCATAATTCTCGTTGGATTATAACACATAATTATTAAGTGATATATACAAAAACGCAGTTCAATTTACCATGAAGATGGGATAAATATACTGTCATTTGTATTTTAAAATGTACAATAAACAGTTCAATTGATTGATTTGAATTTGATTCTTTTTTCTCATCACTTTTATCGTAAACAATCATTATTTATAACTGTCTAGATTCAATAGTTTGTTGATTTTATCATAGATGATCAATGATGAACATCAAAACTGTCCTTTCATTATATTCTGCTTTTTTATTCCAAGTAATCATTGGTAACATAACTGATATAAGATTAGACGATAATATTTCACTTTGTCTAATATAATCGAATACTCATGAATTCAACTATTAAATTACTATAATATCCACAAAATCTCTCTCTGATTATAATCATCATATGCTCATCAGTGACTGTCTCCAAGAGGTATTTCCTAGAGTTCTAATGAGAAGCTATGACCAGTGGAGCCAAACCGTGTCTGTTGTGAGGCAGTGACTCATTGAACACAATGGTGGACGGTCGCACAATGTCGTAGATTGTCTGAAGTTAGACATTACCGCAATTAGATGACGGTTCAGAGGTTAAGCGTTCTCATGAGAGACCAATATGTCCTGGATTTAATATCTCGCTGGGTGAGATTGTGGACGTGCACTACCAAGGAGTTCCATAATAAGACGAAACGATCATCCAGTGCTTTCAAATTTTCGATGATGGTCTAGCTTCAATTAACTCATGAATTCAACTATTAAATGACAGAATACTACTTAAATATCTCAATGATAATGTTCTAATTTATTATAGATTCATATTTAGTGGAAATAAAAACCTCAGTATTTTAAAAGTTTATCAATATCTATCTATCTATCTATCTATCTATCTATCTATCTATCTATCTATCTATCTATCTATCTATCTATCTATCTATCTATCTATCTATCTATCTATCTATCTATCTATCTATCTATCTATCTATCTATCTATCTATCTATCTATCTATCTATCTATCTATCTATCTATCTATCTATCTATCTATCTATCTATCTATCTATCTATCTATCTATCTATCTATCTATCTATCTATCTATCTATCTATCTATCTATCTATCTATCTATCTATCTATCTATCTATCTATCTATCTATCTATCTATCTATCTATCTATCTATCTATCTATCTATCTATCTATCTATCTATCTATCTATCTATCTATCTATCTATCTATCTATCTATCTATCTATCTATCTATCTATCTATCTATCTATCTATCTATCTATCTATGCTGTAGTAAGCCCATTCAACTACTGTATCATTTATGTGCTCACTGTAATTTAGACACTTAATCCACTCTATGATTTTCTGTGTAAGTCTGATCAAGTACACGTCTACACATCAATTTTCAACCTATTCTCCCATTGGTTTAATGCACAGACAATCAATAATTTATCCATACTTGATTAACACTCATAAATATATATGGATTTTTAACACTCACTCACACACACATACACTTGGTTTCCCTTTGTACTTGCTTCTTGATTTTATCAATCTTTAACAATAAACTATCTCTCTATAACTGGTGTTGTTCAGGCTTTTGAATAATCTCGAATAAATCTATAATTCCACTAAAAGATTTAACCTTGTATTTAATACTAAATTAACAGTATACTATTTATAGAAGTCAAATATGGAAGAAACTAGTCTCTACAAATCCATATGATGAAAGGGGAAATAAATTAGTTACATTGATTGTTTCACTGTCATAAAATAAATTTATTCTAATTTCAACAGTTGAGATCATGAGTCAATTGAAGCTAGACCACTATGAAAACCTGGAAGCACTGGGTGGCCATCTCGTCCTATCGTGGGACTTCTCAGCAGTGCGTATCTACGACTCCGCTTCGAGGAGGTCCAGCTCAGGACCTATCATTGTTCCAGGTTTCCCATGATGGTCCAGCTTCAGTGGTCTAGTTGGTTAAGCGCCTGGCGCGAGACTGTTAGGTCCTGGGTTACGAATCCCACGAGGTGGGATCGTGGATGCGCACTGCTGACAAGTCCCAAAATAAGACGAAACGGCCGTTCAGTGCTTCCAGGTTTTCCATGGTGGTCTAGCTTCAATTGACTCATGATATCAACTGTTGAAATTACTACAATCTCCACAAAACCCCTTCTGATACAAATTCATTCTAATTTTTTTTTGTATAATTTGATTTATTTGTCATATACTATCATCACACTTACTATTATCTTTCATTCCATTTATTTAATATTTTACTGTTAACATAAACAGAAAGGTGAAAAAAAAATTAAAACAAAAAAGACAATTTGTTATGTCTAAAAAAGAGAAAAAAAAATTATTGTAGTTGTGGTTGTTGTTGTTGTTGTTGTTGCTGCTTGTTTCATAAATGAAGACAAAAGGGAATAAAATCTGTTGTCATGTTGTCTATCTATTATCATTCATAATCAATAGTTCATATCAGTAAAATGTTTCACTTTCTTTCTTTCTTTTAAATTTATTATTCTGTGACAAATTTGTTTTGTTTTTCTTTCTTTCTTTTTTCTTTTCTTTATCTTGACTGATAAAGTAACTGACGTGTTCAAAATAAGATTTTTGTTTCTATGATCAAAATAAACGAAGTGAAATGGATGACTTCTTTTTATTATTTTAGTACATTCTATGTAATATCAGAAGCGGGTTTTCTTTGTGTGTAAATGTTATAGTAATTTTCAAGAGTTGTTGAGATCATGAGCCATTTGAAACTAGACCGCGATAGAAAATCTGGAAGTAATGAATGGCTATTTCGTCCTATTGTGGGATTCCTCAGCAGTGTGTATCCACGATATCGGCCTCGCAAGATTTAAAGCCAGGATTTATCAGTCTTGCGCGTGAACTCTTAAGTTGATCAATAATTGTAATATTTACAAACGATATTGGTTTAACTAAACCGCTTTACATTTCATCAATGATCAGTTTAGTGGTTAAACTATATTTTTTCTTTGATTTGAAGAAATAAAGCTAATTTTTAAATGTTAAAATTGTACATGTTAGTTCAACGAATCATCACTTTTCATGGTTAAGATTAGAATTGTAAACCATCGGATCTGAAAATTATGATCAAGTTTTGTTCTCTGAGCTGAATGGTTTGATCGTGGAGCTTTCATCGTTCTTCTGAACGACATCAACAGCACAAACTTCAAATAGAAGTGAAGCGTTCGAACTTCTCTGTATGTGATTCACAGCTTGTCCTGTAGACCACGATGATCCACGACCAAACCATTCAACTCAGAGAACAAAACTCCATTAAAATCATCCACCTGCGCCAAACATCTCCACCATCTCAAAATCTGAAAATTAATCATTTGACATGTTAGATCACCATTGAAAACTTAGAAGTAGTGGATAGCTATTTTTCCCTAGTATGTGACTCTTCAGCAGTGCAAACTCACGATCCCACATATGAAAATCGAACTCAGGACCTTCAATCTCTTGCACGAACGCCTAACTTCTAGACTTGACTCCAGGAGTCTTTTCAATAAGCCATAACTAGTGGAGTTCAACCAAGTCTTTTGTGAGAGATAGTAACTCACTGAGGGCAATAGTAGATGGTGGCACAATCCCAAACTCTCATAGATATTTTTATTGTTTGCATACATCTAATATTATTTCCTTTTTTTGTTTTAAAACTACTTTTAAGATAATTAAACCTTACACACGTAACAACAATCACACAAACATAAACACACATACACACACATTTATATAAAAATACATACAACCATAATAGTTATAGTTAACAGTTATGATTAGTAATATATAAACTAATCTAATGTATAGTTATCATAAACAAGATATACATTATTTGAAATACTATCCATTTACTATGTCTCCATTTATATAAACAAAATCAAGACAAGAATTTCTAATATTCTTTATAATATAAACAGATATATATATATATATTTATCATTCAAATGGGATTCTATCATTGCTTCTTCTAGTACGTCTTCTAGTACGAAACGTTATTTGTTTTGTTGTGTCTCTTTTTCTTTCTGTTGTTGTTGTTGTTGATCTTTTGCCCAATGAAATCTGTATAGATGAAGATAAGTAGACTATGTATTGAATAGTCAGAGTTGTTAAATGTTTAAACGTTTTTTCTCTATGACTATTATTTACTAGATAATGGTTAAACTATCTATGCTAAACATCAATGGGAAGCATTCAGGTAAAAAAATACCAAGTGAGTTAAACTTTATCCCATGGCACATGCAAGTGGCAATCGTGACTCAGTAGCTAAGTGGATAACGTGATGACGTTTCAAACGAACGGTACTGGGTTCGAGTCCTAGAGTGAACATCAACTCTGAGGTGAATGTACATCCAGCTGATGAGTACCAAATAGGACTAAACGAGCGTCAAACTAGATTCCACTGCTAGCCACTATCCATCCTTGCGTAAAATGCTTGTAACTTTAGGCAATATCGAGGTAACACGCGCAGTATGCACATATGTCAATAAGCGGCCGATCAATTCCAGTCCGAAACATCAATGGGAAGATTCAAGTAAAACAATACCAAGTGAATTAAATTGATTAACGTTCATTGTGAAACTACTTATTGTATATAAGTAGTCTGTTTAATAATGGAATGAATACAGAAAAAAAGGTTATATTTTCTTTGATATATACAAATATTTAATTACAATATATCTTTATAATCATTGTCAGTTACTGTTAAAATAAATAAAACTTCAAATTATATTATATAAACTCAACTGACTGATTGATTCATAAGTGAACACATTGTAAGTTGACTAATCTAATATGTGCATATAATTGGAAGAAATGAAGAAGAGGTAGATGATGTCTAACATTAGAATCCATGACTCGTCAGCTGAATATACCTCCATTGCAACATTGATGTTTACTACAGGATTCAAACCCGATATCGTTCGTTTCTAATATCTACCTGATCAAAATAGTTGAACAGGATTAATAAATATAATCAGCTTTTTTCGATTTTATATTATTTCATAAAAAGTATCAATACCATTAAGGAAGTCGATGTTCAATGGGAATTCACTTGGTAATTGTGATATGTTTCTTTTTTTCCCCATTTAAATAGCTGGTTATTGGAAAAGCATCTTGTTATAAAATAACTTTCTAAACTTATATTTAATGTGTGCTTAACTACATGAAACGATTCACTTACTGACCAGTAATTCAGTCTTTTAATATCTAGTTAGGCTATACTACGTTATTGATCCCCAATTCTATGAATATTCATCACTTAGAAACGCTATACACTAAGCATTTTATTATTAGTAGGACTTAGTCATTGTACATTAGTGTTGAAAATGATGTCTAGTTCTAACAGATTGGTTAAGTGAAATGTAAACACCTCTATTTCCATTTCATTAGGTAGCTTCCGTTCATTACTACTACTGAAAGTTCAGAAGTAGTCCAAAAGTCAGCGACCACCCTCTATTTCAAAGAAATATAATTTATATATAGACATACCAGACTTCATAACATCATAAAAATAATACCTTTACATAAACGAGACAAAAAAGGTGGTAAATCGGCGAAGTTGTCAGTTAAAGAGTAGCGACAAAAAGGAATTATATGTAGTACAATAACAGTTAATATTTTAAATGAAAGCTTATGACAAACAGAATATAAACACATGGTTAACCAGTTAATTAGTAATTACACAAAAAATATACAAGCAGTTGTAATTCAAAAAGAAGTTTCGAAAGTCCCAACTTTCACAATGTCTTCATGATATAACGTCAATAACTATTGTTTACTCAATTAAGTACTAAATTACGTATACTGAAATTATTGAATGCAAACCCATTTTGGTGATAGTTCTACACATTTTGCTTTTAGCTACTCTTAAAATTATGAGTAGTTTGTCTTTTATTAAAACAATTCTAGGTCGAGAGTGAAAAAATAGATTACTCACTGAGAAATTTTTCATATCATCAAAGAGAAAAACACAATGAATTGATCTCTGAATGTTGACTAATTTGTTTTCATTTATTTTAGTATCCTAATGGCTATCAGTTATGTTCCACAAGTCAGTGGTCCGATAGAATATCACCTATAAATCCAATTAAATCTAATACGTTATCAAAGTTGAAATCGTTGAAAGACAAAATAAATGAATGGAATTTACACGAATCATCATCTTCATTTGCAATAATTTTAACGGGTCTATCTAGTGGTTTAATATTTTTTGCCATATTAAGTACTATACTTGGTTGTATATTAAGACGTAGAAAACAACAACTCAGCAGAAGATCTTTACTTGAATCAAACAATAATAATTTAGATGTACAAATATACAGAGATCTTAGTAAATCAATGTTTGGTGAAAATTTATCAACACCATCTAATTTCAGAACTAAATGTTATTCATCAAAAACTAACAATAATAGTCTATTGAATTCACAACCATCTAGTTATTTTTTAAATTTACATAATGAAGGATCACATAGTCCATCGAATTCAAACAATGGTATACCAATTATAAACTTTCCACATCCAGGTAGTGGTGGATTAACTGTTGAAATGAGCCAAATTTCTCCATTAGCTTTATCATCTAATCAATTAACAATATCTGATCTATCACCGGTAATCACCAGATCAGTATATATGAATACAGGAAATAAATCAGAATCACCTACAAGAAGTGTGAATAGCAGTGAAGCATTAATTGGGAAAACTATCTATAATATTCATCCTAAACTTGGTACAACAAATATATTAGAGAATTTTAACCAACTTGTTCGTGATGGAACACTTGAAAGTATGTTGTTATGATTTTCAATGAAACAGTTTACTTCATATTTATGTTTTCTTATAATGATAAAAATGATTTAAAACTTGTTCAATTGTTTAATAAAAAGAAATTTTATAAGAAAAAGTGGTTAGAGATTGAAAACGGTACGCTCAATAAGTTAAAATAACAAAAAGAAACTGGTCAAATAGCGTAGAGCGTGTATTTAGCGCTTCAAACTGTTTATTTCTCAAGTTTTTTTTAAAGATTATTCAGGTTTATTATGCAGCTATTTATTATTTTCAATAGCCTATAAAGTCTGAAAAATCAAATGTTTGTAGAGAGATTTGCTTGATGCTATTTGGAAATCATTGGAAACCAGAATCCATTAGAGATCTATTTTCTCCTGAATTCTGAGCCTCACTTTTGGCTCTGCTGAGGAGGACAATGAATAGTCGTTGAAGTTTATTTTGGATTTGTTTAAGTTGGAACTTTGGATTATTCGATTCCAAATTTATTTATTTATTTATTTAAACATACAAATATTAATACAGAGAGGTACTGAATACATATGCGCCACACATCTCACTTGATTTGTATGTGGGCTGTGATACAGCTCACAAACTCTTTTTTTATGATGAAATCCAGACCTGTTACAAATATGACAGGATACATGAATCCGAACTTCTAAATATTTATGTTTGATTTTTTGTCTACTTGTAAGTAGTATGAATAAATATATGAAAATATTTTCAATCTTATTATTATTATTATACATTATTACATTTTTAGTACATCGAATGCCTATACCAGTTGAACAGTTTCAAGAAGTGATTTATCAATCAAGAAATAATAATTATATTAGTTTCCAGCAAGAATTTCAAACAATTGAACAAATCTCATCAACACGATATATCAGTGCAGTACATTCTAATTTAGACATAAATAAATCGAAAAATCGATATCCAAATATTTTAGCATATGATTGTACACGAGTTAGCATTCAATCAAATTATCAACATCATTCTAATGCACAATATGGAATAGTTTCAGGATCGGATTATATAAATGCTAATTACATTGATGGTTATAGAAAACAAAAGGCATATATAGCAACTCAAGTAAGTCATTTATTCCCGGTTACTTTATTGTCAAATGTTTAATGTTTCTAAATAACGTGTTGTTACTTTTGCCCGGTTAATTTATCACATGATAAGATCATCAATTAGAACATGATTTACATGACCTTGACATGATGCCAAACCAATGATGCGTAAGCTAGTACAGACAGCCTAGAGTCAATTTTTGAATCCTTATTGATTAATATCACCCAGTTCTGTCCGTTTGAATCCAAATCATAGATCTCAGTTCCAACTGTACGAATCATATATTTCAGACGTATTTGGTCTATATACAAGCAAATAAGACTAAATCATACCATAAAATAGAAAATAACAGGCCAAAAGTGGCTGTGATCGTGAGAGACTGTAACTAATAAATTGGGAACAACGTAAGAGTAGTAAATCGTATAGCAATAGCCAATAGGTCAAATAAAAGCTTGTGATTAAGGAAATAGAAATGTATATAATATAGTTATATATATATAATACAGTTATACAAGAAATATATATATACCCATAATTTAATCTTCTTTGAATCTGACAAAATATAAATTGGAAGTTTTGATAGAACTAAAAAAACTTTGACTGGCACTAATACATTGAAAGCATATTTAAGTATAGACCACTTTTGGATTGTATTCTACCACCGGTGGAATTCAGATGATCACTTTTAGAGATATTGACTAACTTATGTTAGACTAATCAACAATTACTGAGTGATATTTGTTCAGACTTTTAAGCTTTGATTTTATTGCTTCAATCAAGTTGGAATTCGGCAATGGGGCTAAGCGTTTTGACATCACTCGTACTATGTTCAGATGTTGCATGGTTAAAGATGATCGGTAGGAAAATCAGTTTAACGCAAGTTACATTCTAGTTTGCACTATCCACATATGCATATATACAGTCTTGAGCGAACTGATACTCACTTTTGTATTCCCACCCACGTTATCCTCATTCACATGTTGAGGAGCTTCCAGGAAGCCGCCCGCGTTTCGACCAACTTCCAGTAGGATTGAGATAATTAAAATCTAACTGAACGTTCAGTAATAATCAGTCTTATGGAACTGTAAATACCAACGTGTTCGACATCTGAAAGTATTGATCTAAATCTTATTTGAAAGCAAGAATTTGTACAGCTGAGAAATTCTAACAGACTATGTGAATTATCTTCGGTTCTTCGCCCAAGATGAAAATGAAATTTAAATCCCGTTGTACATCACATTATTAATTAAACTTCAACCAATCCAAGAAGTTGTGCCACCGTATACCATTGTCTTCAGTGAGCTGATATCTCACAACAGATCTGGTTAAACTCCACTGGTAACGACTTCTCACTAGAACTCCAGGAGTATCTCTTGAAATCAGTCACTAGCGAGCAGATGATTATTATCAGAGGTGGTTTGTGGAGATTTTAAAAACTTCACAGATTGAAATCATGAGTGGATTGGTTGAAGTTAGACATTAAGACCGTTGGGTGCCAGCTCAGTTGTCTAGTTAGTTAAGCGCCTGGCGCGAGACTGGTAGGTCCTGGGTTCGAATCTCGTGATGTGCGGGATTGTGAACGCGCACTGCTGAGGAGTCCCATACTAGGACGAGACGGCCGTTCAGTGCTTCCAGGTTTTCCACGGTGGTCTAGCTCCAATTGACTCATGATTTCAATCTGTGAAATCACTAAATATTAGTTTAATGGACTAAAGATTTGGCGTTTGTTCCAAGATATGAACGTACTGATTATGATCTTCCTGTTTTGAAGTCATCGATTCACACTACTAATGAATTCCAACAGTAAAATGTAAAATCTATTCTACCTTTCTTGGTTTATGTTAGTTGTTTAACTAATTTTAACCTAGATTTTACACTACTATTACGTATATATATATATATATATATATATATATATATATATATATATATATATATCCGACCGTTGTTGCTACCTTGACGTAGGGGTCGGGCTTGCCTATCGTGATGAAACAACCGAGCTATACTGGCTGGAACAACCGTTCCTCAAGGTCCTACCATGTCAGACAGGTCGGTTGAAGAGCGGTAAGACTAAAAGCAACAAACCTAAGGTCCAAAGGCGAAATCGTATTGCTGACTGTACAGAGGTGTGACAGCAGTAAGGTGTTTCCTTCAGACAACCAGCATGACAGTGATGCTGCCTTCCCACAAAGAGGGGTGTGGTTAGAAAAGGTCCACCCTAAAAATGTACATCTCGCCTTATCCCAAGGATATCCATCTCCGGCGGTAAGGTCTCAACACAAAAATTACCCATAAAAAGGTCGAGTGTGTCCGACCTCAAGTAGTTGTCCCTTGGGCACTGCGGTCACGCTCCCAGGTCACTAAGACCACCTCTAATCCAATTTCCTTTCCAGGTACCTCCAGGAGAACCCTTCCACGGTGTGGGCAACCGCGAAGTGATAACCGCTCTCATACCTCTAACAGCACTCAAGACCATTGTATTCATAATCAACCTCCGTCTTCACTTCCCATTATTCCTCCTACATCGACTTTCAACTTTCAACTTCCTTTTTCGGCTTCCCTCTCAAGTGTCATCAGAGCCAATATTTCTAGTGCTCAAAACACTGTCCCAGGTCTACTGAAACCTCGCTCCAAACCACACATTGGAGCCTTCAATGTACGCACCCTATGTCAAATCGGTCAACAGGCTTCCTTGGTTAGAACCCTAGAATCTCGTACCATTGATGTATGCTATGTCTCTAAAACACGCATACAGGATCCCAGTGTGGTCATTCACTTGACCTCACCTCGGCAAAACGGAGAGCCAACGAGATACACCCTCCGTGTATCTAGTTACCCGACGGCCAGCTCTCGTGAACTGGCAGGAGTAGGGGTAGCACTAAGCATGAGGGCGGAACAAGCACTGCTAGAGTGGATCCCCGTTAACAGTCGTTTATGTGTTGTTCGGCTAAACGGCTCCGTAAGAACTCGGGAGGATAGGGACACACGTCGTTGCCTTTTTGTTGTTTCTGCCTACGCTCCCACCGACTGCAGCTCAGATGAAATGAAAGATGAATTTTACAGAAAGCTTTCTGAACTTCTTCAGAAAGCTAAACGTTCAGACATAGTACTCGTAGCAGGTGACTTTAATGCCCAGATAGGTAGTTTAAACCAAACAGAAAGGCATTTAGGTGGATATTTTAGCATTCCGGCACAGCGAAAAGATTATGGTGACTGTCTGTTGCAACTGTGCTCAGACAATCGCTTATTTTTAGCAAACACAAATGTTAAGCATAAGTAGGGACATCGTCTAACATGGCGACCCCCTACACCAAACCAACGATGGACTCAAATAGACCATATTGTCATCAGTCATCGTTGGAGAGGGTCGGTACAAGATTGTCGCTCATTCTGGAGTACCTTCTTAGACTCCGACCATGCCCTAATACGGGCACGCATCTGCTTGCGCCTCATTGGACGCAAACAAGCCTCAGTAAAAAGACCCATTAGAACTGAATTGAGTAGCGAAAAAACCAAAAGTAGGTTCCAGGGACAACTGAGGTCACAATTAGGTAGTTCTGAAGACAAGGCTGACCCAGATGCTGCTTGGAAAGACATACAAGCAGCTGTGGAAACAGCAGTGACATCTATTAATGAGTTAAACCACAGGGTTACAAAGAACCAATGGATTTCCTCAAGGTCTATTGCACTGATGGATTCTCGTAAACTCATCCCATTAGGTTCTGAACACGATGAAGAGCGACAACAAATCAGATCTAGGTTAAACAAAAGTCTAAGGAACGACCGTGAGCAGTGGTGGGCAACAAGAGCGAAAGAGATGTAAACGGCGGCGGCTATAGGTAACACAAGACAGCTCTACAGACTAATAAAAGAAACTGGAATTAATAAGTCAAGTGTAAGTCAGACTATTTCGGAAAAAGACGACACCCTCATCTGCTCTTAGTCCAGACGTTTAGAACGATGGGTGGAACATTTCAGCTGGCCTTCAGCCACTCTACAACTACCCTCCATTCCCAGACAGTGTGAATGGAACATTGAAGTAGGTCCCCAAACTCTAGCAGAAGTTCTAAAGGCTATAGTTAATCTGAAACGAGGAAGGGCAGCTGGTTCAGATGGATTGGCTCCAGAGGTCTTTAAGGATGGTGGTCCAATTTTAGCGATTAGGTTGACTAATATTTTAGCTACGATCTGCGAGTTAGACGTTATTCCATCTGGCTGGTCACAATCACTTATCGTCCCAATATATAAGAGAGGGTCAAAATCATCCTGTGACAACCATAGAGGGATTAGTTTAACTAATAAAGCATCTAAAATACTAGCCTCGATAGTTATCGGGCGCCGCCTAACTAAGACTCATGAACTGCAAACACGAGAGAATCAAGCTGACTTCAGACCTGGTCGTGGCTGCATCGACCACATATTCACCATTCTTCAGGTTCTAGAACATAGGCACACTTACCGGCGTCCGACAATGGTGGTCTTTCTTGACTTGAAAGCAGCATTTGACTCTGTAGACCGCGAGATTCTGTGGCAGTGTCTGTCATTGAAAGGCGTACCTCAGAAGTACATAAACCCTGTGAAGGCTCTTTACTCGAACACTACCAGTCGAGTCAGAGCTTATAGCGAACTGTCATCTACTTTTGCAAGCTCAAGTGGTGTCCGTCAAGGCTGTCCACTGTCTCCATTTTTGTTTAACTTCATCATAGACCTACTGATGGGAATAACATTCTCGTCTACTGAATTCTCGGGTATTGATCTCCTTCCAGGAGGTTCGCTTATCGACGTCACCTGTGGTGAAGTCGAGGTATCTTTCTACCAATAAAAGGACGAGTATACCGCACGGCGGTTCGTTCTGTTCTACTTTACGGCTACGAAACGTGGCCATTAAGAGTAGAAAGTACTCGGAAGTTACCAGTATTTGATCACAGATGTCTTAGAAATATTGCTCGCATCTGTTGGGATCACCGGACAAGTGATATTGAAGTTATACTCGGGGTATTAGAGAATGATGGTAA